CTACTTACTTAATTTCTGTCTCTTATTTCTATAATAATTTATTAAGATATTTTTATAATTCTTCATAACCTTTGAACTCAGGTTAATGATTAAATTTAAGTAATTTTGAGCTTATTTTGAAATCACAATCCTAGTGGATTTTTTTAATCTTTTCAATGATTGTTGTTGGATTAATGACTGATATTTCACTTTAGATTAACAAATCTAATTCTCAATCTTCTACACTTCTTTCTCTAACTTTTAACTAAAGATAGTTACCAACTAGTTGTTAATCTATCCAACTCCATCTTATATGAATAAATTTCATCATTCCAAGCTTTTAATTTTGACCCTTCTATAATTGAGACCATCTTTTCTAAATCAGTATATGAGGATTTGGAGAGATTTGTGTTTTAAAAATTATTGAATTTCTATTACTTGTTTGAATGTAAAATTAGGCTTTTGGCAGGGTGGATTTTTCAAAAAATAGAACTAAATATACACCTAATTTACATAAAAATTATCTAATAGAATAATTTGTTCATAATATTTATATAAATATTTATTTAAACAAATATTTTTTATATTCTGAAGGGAGGCTGCCTTGGTCAAATCTAAGAGGTGTATTTAAGTCTGAATAATTAAAAGCCAAATTTGAAGGTCTTTTTAAGAAAATGGATGATTTTTAATGTTCTTTAAAACCCTTGATTGACTAAGAAATTTAATTGTCTTGCCTAAGGTTTATCCTTGGATAATGCCATAAAGAGTTAAAAAGAAGCCATACTAATTTATACTAACAGTTAGTTAAGGTAAGTAAGGGCCATCAACTCAATTGAAATGATTTATTGTTCATATTTATCATTCCTAGTCTCGTTAATCTTTCTCTCAATAAATCATGTTCCATTCATTAGAACAAACTTAATCCCTTTTAACTGCATTCGGCTATTTCAGGCAAAAAATAATAAAGCAACAAATTTAGTTAGTTATTACCACCTCATACATTAAGTTTTAAATGAGTTTTCACAAGAATGGATAACAATTATAGGTTAAGGTAGATGATACTAATATTCGATTTAAGGTCTTATCTAATTAATAAAACAATTACCGTAATTCATGATTTAGCAAAGATAAAAAAATCCTCAATACTTTAGCTATTAATGCTTTTTAATTAGTTTAATGGTTTATTTTTTTTGATTAACAATGATCAAAATTTTTTAGATCACTCAAAATCAATAATCAATAATTAAGTTTGAAATTTTTTATAATTTATTCCTGATGGATCAAACCTGTCATTTTATGTTATTTTCTTCTTCGGTTCATCTGCTTTTCTTCATAACTGAATCATTTTCGTAATTACTTAGTTGTTTTAGAAATCATATTATGTAATTCTTCAATTTCTTTGTACTTTTATTTAATTAGAACACCACTCTTAATAATTTGTTTAACAATCAATGCTTAAATAATAAATTTAGAAAAAATAAACATAATTTTTTGACCTTAAAATCCATGAATAAAAAAATTAGAAGTTAAATAAATAGAAGATTAAATGAAATCTATAAGTGAATAATTATTTTTCGTTTAATAATCAATTATTCATTGAATTTTATCATAAATAAATTAAAAGAATTGAATTATCAAGAAAAATAAAAACAACCGTGATTTTAATTGTGTGGATAGAATAAACGAAGTTGATTCCACTCTTTATTGAGAATTTTCTGAAAGCAGGTTTAAAAAAATGGATTTATCTAGATGGCAAATGAAATTTATGATTTGCTGTTTAAATAAATACTTTTTGTTTCTGCTAAATATATTTTAAAACCAATATAAAACTACCAGAAAAAGAGAGATTTTCGAAGATAATATTATTGGAGAGAAAAATTTAATTTTCTTATTATAAAAAGCTAATCAACATTATTCTTGAAATAAATCTAATTTTGTTAAGAATGAAATAACAAATAATTAAACAATATATTCACAATCTCAATCAAATATTTCATCAGCACAACATCTTTAAATATAATTTCGATTGTATGCTTCATAAATTATATACCAAAGTATATATATATTTAATAGAGATTAGTAATATTGAGAAACTCAAGCTCAGCATCCATGTTTTTCAAAGTCTCCACCTGAAGATTTTGTAACTTTAAGTAGTACGAGTTCTTCTGCATTTGTAGGATGAATCCCTACAGTTCTTTATAAATCTTCTATTCTCATTCCTAATTTAACTGCAACTGCAAATCCTTACATAACTTCTCCAGCATTTGGTCCAAGATAATGTATTCCAACTACTTTGTTGTTATTGGAAGTATTGCATACAACTTTGACATATACTTTTTTTTGTAGAAGTTCATAATTTTCATCAAGTTAATCGCATAATTATTCCTCTAAAGGAACAAATTTTGAATGATAGATTTCAATGTTTTTTTCTCCGAATTTAGCCTTAGCTTATTCTTCATTTAAGCCAACAAAGCTATATTCAAGAGGAGTAAAAACAGTTGTAGGATAATCACTATATTCCAATTTTGTATTTTCATACTCTTGTGATAGAAACGAACCTCTTATTAGAAGCTATATTCTTTTGGCTAACAATTGACCACTTTTAGAAGCAACTGGAGTTAATTCTGGAATTCCATTTACAACGTCTCCAATCGCGAATATATTTTCGATTTCAGTTCTTTCAATTTCTCCATTCAAATTTCCTATAATCTTGGATTGTTATAAATAATTACTTTATTGTTAGTAGGGTTCACTTTGACTCCTAATTTATCCAAATTGAGCAATTTTGTGTTGGCTTGTCTGCCTATAGCCATAAGAACAGTATCAAAGATTCCACTGCCTTCTTAGGCACTAACAGTAGATTGCCACTTAACCAAGATTTTATCATTTTTTTATTCTGAATGAAATGGCAATGATTAAGGTATAATATTCACTTTTAAATATTTTTAGTAATGCTCTAAAATCATCTCAACAATATCCTAGTCAAATTCTCTAAGGTACTTTCCTCTTGTCATTAATGTTACATCAAAACCTAATCCTTTTAAAATTCCTGCGCATTCTAATGCAATATATCCACCTCCAACAACAAGAGTCTTACCAGGTGGTTTCCTTAATGAAAATATATCATCTGATGTGATAGCATGCTTTTCTAATGATTTTAATTTTGTAGGACGTCCCCCAGTACTAATAACACAATATCTAAATTTTAATTCCTTTAATTTATTTTTATCTTATGCAATCAAATCATCTGGCTTTCCATATATCAATGTGTGATTATCCTTAAAAGTTGCTTAATCATTCAAATAAAGAATTCCCTATTTTTGTAAATTTCCCTTGTAACCATAATTCAGCCCTTTTATGTGATTCTAGATATTTTCTATTAAAATATTCCAATCAACTTATTCTTAAAAACTAGAGGTCCATCCATAAGGATTAGAACTTACATTCTTCTCTTTAATTATAGCACTTTGATGCATTAATTTTTTTGGTATGCATCCAACATTAACACAAGTCCCTCCTAAACCCCAAGTGGAGCCATGACTCGAAGGTGTGACATAATCAAATACTGCAATCTTTAATCCAAGTTTTGCACCTTCCTAATATATAATTAAAAATATATACAAGAGCAAAAGCTAACCCTCCTGAACCTCCACCAACCACAGCAACATCAAAAACTTCTGCTTAATTGCAAAAGTTTTGTATTCGCCTCAAAAATCTAATCATATTATATTTTCTAAAATTTCATTTATAATCACAAATAAAAACTGGTGCATCATAATAAATAAATTTATCAAGATATTTTATTATTGATTTATGGAATCATAATTTAATTTGAAATTTATCACATGCATCTTTTACAAAAAATTTTACATCTATTAATTAAGGCTATTATTTGCTTCAAAATAAGATTTGGTTCTTTAATGATTTTTTTAAATTTACTTTTCTCAAATAAGTTTGATAGTTCGTCCTCATAATAGGTTTTANTGTCTGCCTATAGCCATAAGAACAGTATCAAAGATTCCACTGCCTTCTTAGGCACTAACAGTAGATTGCCACTTAACCAAGATTTTATCATTTTTTTATTCTGAATGAAATGGCAATGATTAAGGTATAATATTCACTTTTAAATATTTTTAGTAATGCTCTAAAATCATCTCAACAATATCCTAGTCAAATTCTCTAAGGTACTTTCCTCTTGTCATTAATGTTACATCAAAACCTAATCCTTTTAAAATTCCTGCGCATTCTAATGCAATATATCCACCTCCAACAACAAGAGTCTTACCAGGTGGTTTCCTTAATGAAAATATATCATCTGATGTGATAGCATGCTTTTCTAATGATTTTAATTTTGTAGGACGTCCCCCAGTACTAATAACACAATATCTAAATTTTAATTCCTTTAATTTATTTTTATCTTATGCAATCAAATCATCTGGCTTTCCATATATCAATGTGTGATTATCCTTAAAAGTTGCTTAATCATTCAAATAAAGAATTCCCTATTTTTGTAAATTTCCCTTGTAACCATAATTCAGCCCTTTTATGTGATTCTAGATATTTTCTATTAAAATATTCCAATCAACTTATTCTTAAAAACTAGAGGTCCATCCATAAGGATTAGAACTTACATTCTTCTCTTTAATTATAGCACTTTGATGCATTAATTTTTTTGGTATGCATCCAACATTAACACAAGTCCCTCCTAAACCCCAAGTGGAGCCATGACTCGAAGGTGTGACATAATCAAATACTGCAATCTTTAATCCAAGTTTTGCACCTTCCTAATATATAATTAAAAATATATACAAGAGCAAAAGCTAACCCTCCTGAACCTCCACCAACCACAGCAACATCAAAAACTTCTGCTTAATTGCAAAAGTTTTGTATTCGCCTCAAAAATCTAATCATATTATATTTTCTAAAATTTCATTTATAATCACAAATAAAAACTGGTGCATCATAATAAATAAATTTATCAAGATATTTTATTATTGATTTATGGAATCATAATTTAATTTGAAATTTATCACATGCATCTTTTACAAAAAATTTTACATCTATTAATTAAGGCTATTATTTGCTTCAAAATAAGATTTGGTTCTTTAATGATTTTTTTAAATTTACTTTTCTCAAATAAGTTTGATAGTTCGTCCTCATAATAGGTTTTACAGCAGAAATGCCTCGTTTTATATAGATATTTTTGATTTTTAATTATAATTTTTTTTTTAATTCTATTTTTTTCTAGATATGTTTATTATAAAATACTCGAATAAATTAATTAGAGCTAAATTTTAAGATCTTGCATGAATTTTTAATCTAAATTGAAAGTAACAAATCTTTTTCTAGTAATTTCTCAATTAATTTGCCTATTCCAAGATTAATTATAAGTAATTATATAAAAAATAATTCTTCCATCTTTCCTTTTAGTTTCGCATATATTTTCTAAAAATTTCTGAAAATAAACTAATTTCTTCAAGGATTCTACTGATAGTTTATTAGGGGTTAGCCTTCATAATATGGCATTTAATTATATTATTAGATTTTAAAATAACTTTATAAATGTAGAAACTAAATATAAATAATATAAAAATATTCAGAAAAAAATTGTTAAATTATATTAATTAGATAGGATGTTAATTCTGACAAAATAGAAATTATATTATTTAAGTCAGATAATATAGTAAGTTTTCTAGAAATAATGATTTTAAATTTAATACTTATTCAGATTTTTTGGATAATTAATATAATTAGTCTAATCTTATTAAATTAAGTTTAATAATCTAATCATATATTTATTGTTAAATTAATGGGAAGTACTTGCTGCAATAAACAACCTCAGCCAAACTCATCTTCTGGTACATGATTAATAATATCTGCAACAGAAATAGTTTGTGATAATAGCAATGTTTCTATAATTAAAAAGTCTAATCATTAAGAAGGAAGTCCAGGTGAGCCACCATCAAGATTGCCATCTAAAGGGATTTCTATTCCTTAAAATTACGAAGAAGTATCAATGTTAAACTAGCTGAAAAATCAAGTGCCTGCCTTAAAAATTAGCAATACTAAAGGAACTATGTATGATGAAAGAAATTTGAAAGATTCTAAGGAATCATTTGAGCCTTCAGAAAAATCAGATTAAATAGATGAAGGAAATTAGAACCTTGTAGAGAGAAAAGCTGAAGTTGTTTAAAATTCTTTAGAAAAAATAGTTTAAGCAGAAAAATTGGAGAGATAAAATGAAGCTTAATAAAAGTAGTAATAAGATACTGGAACAAAAAAGTCTCCGGCAGCATCTTAAAAGACAGTACCTCGTGGGCCAATAGATCATAGTCCAAACAGAAAACCCAGTATGGCTTCGGTAGGCTCATTATCTGTAAAAATTGGGGTGGAATTATTCGTAAATTTAAAAAAACAATCGATAACGAAAGTATACACTCTCGGATAGGTTTTGGGTTAAGGTGCTTTCGGAAAGGTATGGAAAGTGACTCATAAAACAACAGGTATGAATATAGTTAAATTTTAAGGTTTAATAAGAGCTATGAAACAAATTCGAAAATCAGAATTAATAAAGGAAGATGAATAAAAAATGTTTTCTGAGATGAACCTATTAAAAAATTTAGATCATCCTCATGTTGTTAAATTATATGAATTGTATTAAGATTCTAATAATTATTATTTGATAACCGAGTATTTAAAAAAGATAAATTAGATATTTATGTGGAGGAGAGTTGTTTGAAAGAATAAAAAAAATGAATTCTTTTAGTGAGAAAAGAGCAAGTGATTTAATGAGACAAATTTTAATGGCAGTAGTGTATTGTCATGATTAGAAAATTGTTCATAGGGATTTGAAACCTGAAAATGTGCTATTTTCTGGAACAGAACCAGAAGCATTACTTAAGATTATTGATTTTGGATGTTCAAGAAAATTTAATTCTCAAAAGAACATGACTAAAAGACTGGGAACTGTATGTATTTAAAAAATAACATTAAGCCATATTACATAGCACCAGAAGTCTTGAATCACAATTACAATGAGAAATGTGATGTATGGTCATGTGGTGTGATTTTGTATATCTTATTATGTGGATATCCTCCATTCACAGGAAAAAATGAGAATGAAATATTTGAAAAAGTGAAGACAGGCAAATTCAAATTTCCAAGTATATTATTGTTCATATTGATTTTGAATAGTTGATGAATGGGATACTATAAGCAGAGAAGCAAAAAATTTAATTTAGAGGATGCTTTAAGTGGATGTAAATTCAAGATATTCAGCGTCTTAAGCATTAAATGACCCTTGGATTTCAAAGCACGCTCCTAATACTTAAATAAATAAAAAAGTTCTTGAGAACTTAGCACAATTTCAAGCTAAAAGTGAGTTTCGAGCTGCCATTGTGTAATATATAATTAGTCAGATGACAACTAATAAAGAATTGGAAGATCTTTAGAAAACATTCTAATCTTTAGATAAGAATAAAGATGGAGTATTAAATAAAGCAGAATTAGTAGAAGGATATACTAAAATTTTAAAAAGTAGAGAATAAGCTGAAGAATATGTTGAAAAGATTATTTCTAAGCTCGATAAAAATTAATCTGGTGTGATTGAATTTAATGAATTTTTAATGGCTGCCATTAATGAAGAAAAGATCATTCCAATTAAAAAGGTTGAATAAGCATTCAAGATTTTCGATTCTGATGGTGATGGTTATATAAGCAAACAAGAAATAGAAGAAGTCATGGGGGAATTGAACGCCGATGTTTGGAAACTCTTTTTAGACGAAACAGATGGAAACAACGACGGCAAGATATCGTATGAAGAATTCTCTAAATTAATACTGAGCAAATGAATATATTCTGTATTTATATACTTCATTATTGTATTGAATAAAAGCTTATTAAAACACAATTTATGAAAGCTTCAAGATTTATTAAAAAAGCATGTTGAAATTTCAATGAGCTGATTAATCTAAAACTAATTTATCCTCTTCTGCATATTCAATATCTATGAATTGAAATTACTAAGATATATTTGAAACATAATCTAAAGACCGATATTCACTTCGACTTATATTACTAATGAGATCTTCAAGAGTTCTTATTGTTATTGGCTTAATGTATACTTCTCTCATTCCTGATTCCAATAATCTATTTATTTCATCTTCACCTGAGAATCCAGTAAGTCCGAATATTGGAATTGGGGGAATGTTTTTATCTTTACAAATTTATGTGATATATTTTGTAGCTTCTTCACCGTTCATAATTGGCATTTAATAATCCATGATTATACCTTTATACCCTTTACATTTATGTTCTTAAAATTATTCAAGCATTTTTTCTAATAATTGGATACAATGTTTACCATTTTCTGCTTTTACTACAGAGTGTTGTAATTTCTTTAGCAATGATTCCAAAACTACTAAATTATAAGGTTCATCATCAACTATCATAAAAGTGTTTTCACATTAGCACAAATTCTTTGTGTGTATTTAAGTGACTGTTGACCAAGGACTCAGTTTTTAATTGAAATTGTGATATTAATGAACAATCCCTTCATTTTCTACACTTGATTCTTTGAGTATCAAATCACTTGAGAAATTTTCGCCTGATATTAATCTTATTTTTATATGCATTTAAACTATTGTTCCCTTATCAATATCTGAATCGATAGAAATGTAATTTACATTGTCATCTTTCCCTGAAACATTTTTTATTAATTAATTTGATGCTCTTAAACCTAACATTATCCCAGAAGATGCATCATTTGAATTTCTTTCACTTTAAAAGTCTTCCCCATTTAATAAAGATCGAATATAATCTAATCTTTCACTTGCCATCCCTAAACCATTGTCTTTCACCTCAATCATATATACATCGGCTAAGTTTGTAGACAAATTTCCTATTGATGAAAATTAACTGGCCATCTTGTATTTGCTATAGGTTCGACGTTATTTATTATTATTAGAGGAATCATGACAAATTTCACTTCCGCTCATTCTCTGTTATTAAGGAGATTAAGAATGTGGAATTTATAATTTTGAATGCCTATTGATTTATACTTTATTATCTGGTATTTAAATATAACTATTTGTTTGGTAATTATTATTATTATTGTTGTTACTTTAATCTTTTAACAATCTAATTGTTATTAGTCCATCAGATTTACTAAATCTTATGCTATTCGATATTATGTGAATCAATATGCTTTAAAATTTCTCAGAATCCAACAATTCATAATTATTTGTTTATATCTTATCCTCATATTTGATTTTTATATTCTTTAGTTCTGCTTCATCTTTGAATAAATCTATAACTTCCTAAATTAAAACATTAATTCTCACTTTGTCTAATTTGACAGGCAATTATCTTTCCCTTAACAGATTATAATCTATTATTGAACCAATTATAAAATTTTATATTCTGCAATTGTTAAAAGCTGCCTTTAAGTATTTTTATACTTCTCTGTCAAATTTTTAATTGTAATTTTGAACCATCTAGATCATCCCTTAAATAGCATTTAATCTAGTTCTTAATTCGTGAGATATTGATCTAATTACTTTACTTTTGAATTAATTCAAGTTTTTATAATAAATAGACTTTAAATTAGTTGATATATCATAAAGATTAATTAAAGTTGCATGTTTATTATCTTCATATTATAACAAAGTTTTCATCTTAACTTCAATAACAACTTTTTAAGATTCATCATAAGCCTATTCAGGACGATCGATAAATTAACATCTTAAGGTATAAATTTTTCCTTGAGTTTTTTTATCAGTCTTAATGATATATTGAATAATTTGGTTTAAATTTAGTTATTCATCATCCAAATTGTCAAGGTTAAACTTGCTAGAATCTGGTGGTAATTAATTCTTAACTTCATCAATATTTGCAAACATTTATGAAAAAAAAAGAAATATCTCTTCATAATTATTCATAATTGATGGTTGAGTCTCAAATATATAGTCTTATTTCACAGATTTTGTCATAAAGGTTCTTGTTTTTGTATGAGATTTTTCTATTAACTTCTTCATATATCTATTTGAAAATAAGACTTGCTGGCAATCAGAATTTAATATACAAACTGCTGTTGGTATACTTCTCAAAGATTACTCTGCAAAATGTTTTATCTTACTCAATCTAATTATTTGTTGATCCCAAAAATAGACTAGCAGCAAATTTAAAAAAACGATATGGTAAGTGAACAAACATGAAAAAATAGTGAATTCTGTTTTGTAGCCTAAGTAAACAAAAAATTTAATTAGAATGATTAATCTTAATTTGAAATTGTTCATTGTTGCCATCGTAATTAACATTATTGTAAATATTAAAAGGATCCCAATTAATCTCTGCAAACTTTCGTATTCCATTAATAATTGAGTCAAATAAAGCTACAATAATGTTTCCAATGTAACAAAGATTATTTGTGTAAGCACTACTTTCTTTTTTTTGGATAATTTTTAAATTATCCATCTATCATATATTATCATAGCTAAAGGAAGCAAAATTAATAAATATGTATAAAGTGTAATAGTCTAACTATTATAGGATTCAAAACCTTCAATATTACTTATAATAATCAACACAGCACTATAAAACAAATAGATTTTCATTATTGTCACAAGCAGAGGCCAGAATTGTGAGATGATTAATTCATTCTAACAATCGATATAAATAGAGTCATTATAATCTTCGTAAATTTCATAAGCTGATTTTTTTTATTTTCTCAACCAAATTAACATTGTTAATTAATATATAAAAACTATAAATATGTTATATGAATTTTAATCTTTTTTCCATAAGTCATCCTATATATTTTATCTAAGTTTCAAATTAAGATATAAGATAGATACTTTTGGACTTTAATCAAAGCTTCCTATATTTATTAATTATAATAAATAAAAAAAAAATAACTTCAATCTCTTTATTTTAATTTTTCCGATTTTCAATTAAGCAGTGAAAAAAAATTTTCTTTCTACTCAATACTTTGAAAATTTTAATCATATCACTATATAATAAATTTAAAAGGTTCTTGATCAATTAAAGCGATTTATAAACAATCTATAATTACTAATTCTTAAAAATAAACTTTAAAAATGAATCTTATTAGAAATTTTGGATTTTATTTGTTTAAATAAATCAACTAACTAATTTTATTTACAAAAAATTCCCATCAAATAAATAGGAATCTTTAAAAGAAAGAAAATTTTTTTTAAAGAATCCTTTTTACTATGTAAGATATATTTGATATGATTAATTGAGATTTTAAACCATTATCAATCTCATCAATTTTAGGAATTTATAATTAATGTATAATTTTTTCTGTATAAACTATTTGCATATTAGTTCAATTTTCCTTTATTTTTATATAATGGAATGCAAATGCTTCTTGTAGAATAAAGTCTTATCAATAGATTACTACATAAACTTTATTCTAATATACATAGATTTTTATCTGAATGCTAAACTGATTAATACTTAATTTTATGAGATGAATTATTGATAAATAGAATGATGCTATATTAAAATAAAAAATATACATTTCAGCATATAATTGAATAAATCTAATAAATTTATTTAATGAGAAATAGAAAATAACTACTGATTTCAATCATTAGAATGAATGCATTTGGTTTAAATCTTGTTTTAATCTTGTTATTTTAACAATTAATTAATTTTAAATAACTGAAACACATAATGCGCAGAAATTCTAAATAATCGAAAAAATGTGCTTACGGTGTTTTATGGAAAACAATTGTTCGGAAAACAATTCCACACACACACAACATACATTTTAAGAGGTAATATTTATATAAGAGATGGTAAATGATAATGTTCTTCAGATGACTTATTTTTTTAATTTCATGGTAGCAGATCTTCATGCAGTGATTTCAGGTGGAATACTTGAAGAAATTCACTAAAGTAGTTTGATTAAAAATTTAGATTTATTGCTTATCAGATACTCAAAACCCTTAAATACATTCATTCTGTTGAAATAATCCATCAAAACCTAAAACCTTCAAAAATTTGATTAGATGCTGAATTTAATGTCAAAGAAAAAAAAAAGTTGCATATTTTGGACTTACAAGAAATTTACTAATGTTTCTAGCAACTTGGTCATAGAGGTCCTGAATATTTTTAAGATCTACCTAATACACAAAGTATTTGATATGAGCACTGATGGATGTATCTTAAGGCCAAATGATTAATTGATATCCTCTATTTCCTAAGACTATCCATTCAGAATTAGATATGTTTAAGCTTCTTTAGCTTTTTAATTGCCAAAAATATTCTATTCCTAAAAGAACTCTATTGATTTATTCATTATTTTCCTAAAGCAACCTCTTTGGCTTTAAATTAAATTTTCTTGAGATGAGTTTGACTATAGAAGAAGCAATTTTTCATTATTATGTTACTGCTTTTCAAAATCAATACGTAATATTAAGAAAATGATATTTCTATTTAGCTAATATTGTATTTCTTAATTTCTTTAAAAATTATTTAAATTTATATTTTTTTAACAAAATTTTAGAAAAGTTTAACAATCTATTTCTATTTTATAATAATTTTAGTAGAATAATAAAATAATTAAAGAATTCCATCATGAAATAGATGTATATATATATTAATCGGACTAATTATTTGTTTTAGAGTGGATTCAATTGTGAAATAATCAAATTGAGAGTAATAATAAAAAATTATACACAATCAATGTGACATTTCTATTCTTTTATTAATTTAAATCATTGGCAATTTTTGAATAGTAGTATGATTTTCAGATATTTCATTATTATCATCAATACAATTAAGTGAGATGATTTCATCATTTATGCTTTTGGTATCTATATAGAACTTATCGAGAAAATTAGGGTTAGAAGGAGTTTGATGCGATATATTATTTATTAAAGCTAGACACTACTCTGCATTTGCCCTCAAATCAGGATTAAATTGAAGCATCGCTCTTAATAAATTTTGGTATTATTAATCTATACCAGATTGATTGATCAAATGCAACATCATTTTTTCATCATAAGTAATTGACTCATGATCAAATAAATCTTTTCTAGTTATACTAAATTTAATATACAAAGTTACATTTTATATAAAATAACGCCACAGCTAAAAATATCACATTTTTAGGTATAGATTTTACATTTAATTTCAGGTGCAGTGTAACCATGAACTCTAGAAGTGGGGCGTCTTAAGCAATAAAAACGAAATTAATTACTTATTCTCAAAATCAATTTGTCTGCATCCCAACTCAAATTCAGAAATAAGGAGAGTTTCTAGGTTATTTGATTCTTTAAAAAATATATGTTCTGGTTTTAAGTTTCTGTGGACAAAACCTTTTGAATGAATAAAGGAAATAGTTAAAATCAATTACTAGTGTAATAATAAAATTTACGCGTATTATTAATTTGACTTCTTCGAATGATAGTTATTTGGATTTGATTAAATCAGCTAAAGAACCTCCTTCAGGAAAATCGAACACGAAATGATAATTTTAGTTGTTATTATATACTTCTTTTAACTTTAAGATGTTAGAATGATCTAATTATTTTAGAATTTCAATTTAGTAATAGAAATCCTATTATATTACTTAATTTATTACTTTTTCAGTGTATTGTATACATTTTTAAATATTTTTGCACATGAATGAATCTCTTGAATTAAGATATTTCATTTTTATAAGCTAGAGGATCTATGAAAATAGAAATAATTACAGAACCAAAAGAACTATATTATAAAATATGGACAGGTTCATAGAGAATTTAGAATTTTCCATAGGTGACATTGCCATTTAGAGTTTATTTAAACTTATTACAACTCGTTGCATCCATAAAGAAGAACTTTTATTTATATTTCCAAATCAACCAAAATCCATTAAGTTTTTTGGTATTTTAATTGATTGACCAATCAATTACAGTTTTATGAGTAAGATTGATAGTATATTTAATTTTATTAGAGGTCTAAAAATTAAAAAAAAAATTTACTTCTCCTAAGTGAATTTGATTCTCATTCAGGAAAATGTGGTATTTTTTGGTAAATATAGAGTGTTTACGATAACACAACATGATGATAAGTATGAAGGTATATAATTATTTGCTGATAAAATCTAATAAATAATAATCTCTAATATTTGCTTGAAATTTAATTTAAATCAACTCATTATATCTAATTATTATATTATAATCTTTAATAACTCTATAAACATAAATAAATGAGAATCAAAACTAGTGGCAGTTATTCTTATTAATGGAAATATGTTTAAGTTTTTGAATGACATCAAGTGAGTTCATTTCTTCCATTAAAAATAAATCAAAATTTTCAAAGTATTTCTGAGCATCCTTTGCTGTTATTCTTTAATTAGGACTAGGTTCTAACATTTTAAGTAGGATATTCTTAAACTAGTTATTTATGGAAGTGAATTATTTCTCTTCATATACCTAGGCTTCTATGTTATAAATTTCACTTTCTTCACTTTACATTTCAAGATTATATCCAGTCAATCTAAATTTTTAATTAGTTAATTTACATCGAATATAACAAAGATCCACAACTAAAAACATCACATTGTTCATTATAAGGATTTGTCTAATCAAATTTTATGACTTCTGGAGCCATATATCCAGGAGTACCACAATTTGGATGTTTAGTAACGATATCTTCTACTTTTGCAGCAAACCCAAAATCACATACTAGGATACTGGATAGATCATTTTATTCTCTTAATAAAATATTATCTGGTTTTATATCTCTATGAATGAATCCTCTAGAATTCATGTAGATAATTGCATTTAAAATTTACTAGAAGATTATATATTAAATATTACTTTCATTATCATAACTATTTGATCTTAATTCAATGTTCTATAAGCTAATTATTCTCTAAGTGTTCCTCCTCTACAATATTCCATAATAATAAAGAAATGAGATTTTGAACTATAAACTTCTTTAATTTTGATTATATTTTCATGGTTCAATGATTGCATTGTCATTAACTCATAAATTATGTCCTATTTTATATTTTTTCAAAATTACGTTTTTCGAAAATTTTTTATCCAATTTCATTACTTTGCATGCATATTCTTTTCTGTCTATTAGGCTAACCACTTTGATAACCTAAGAAAAATAATATTTAAAGCTTACTTTACCAAAAGTTCCTTCTCCTACAATTTAAATAGGATAATATTAAGAATTTATTTCATTATAAAGTATTCTTCCATCAATTTAAGATTTCAGCTCTTGACAATTTTGATCTGACATATGAAATTGTTTTTTCTAATTATTCCATTCAATGATGAACCCTTGAAATTGGGATTTTTCCTTATCAAAAGTCCATTCAAGTTTTGTTTGTAAATTTATGGGCAAAACATATTTAGGATTTAGTATATTCTAGTATATAATTTTTCTAAATACCTTTCCTATGCATATTTTGTCATCATGAATAAATAAGAGATAATGTTAATCTATAATAGTATGCTTACGGATGCAAATCATTATTAAATTAAATTGAAATTTAAATATCAATCAACTATTAGATATCCGATTGCGTTTTTTCGGATTGTAATATGTATTTTATTCCTAAATAAGCTTAAAATTTAAGAATATCTAAGTAACCAAATATAACTAAATAGTGCTGTAAATAAAAAAATAATTTCTAGAGATAATATTCATCATTTTAATAATAATATAGAATTAGCATTAACAAATTTTAATATTCAGAAATCTATGTTTAAAAGATTAGGATCTGATTTAGGTTTACAGGATATCATAACAGGAATTCTTTAAATGTTTTCATCTGGAGGAATTTCTTCAATTTATCTAGAGATTTGTTCTAAAATATTGAGAGCCACTTGAGCAGTTATTCTTTTTGATGGTTTATCCTCAAGCATTAAGGATAACAAATGATGAAAATAATAATGAATACCTCCAAAATTATAATCAGCTTTGTTATACATTTTGTTATTTTAATAAATTTCTGATTTTGTATCTCCTTCAAATAAATGTTTGTGAGTTAGTCTTAATAATATTTTAAATAAATTACAATTAATATAGGATGATTCCACAACTGAAAATATCACATTTAGTATCATATGGAGTGAGACCATCACTATTTAATATCTCTGGAGCAACATAACCACTAGTTCCACAAATTTTATATACAACTTTTGGATCATTAAGATTTGCAGCTAGTCCAAAGTCAATCAACTTAATTAGGGCTTCGTTATTGAGATTTAGTACTTTAATCATCTGAATGTTATAATATGATGTTTTCCGGTTTAATATCTCTATGTACAATATTATTTGAATGAAGATGATCAATAGCTTATAATAATTACTTAGTTATTATTAAAATTTACTTTCATAATTCTAATAATTTCTTCCTCACTTAATCTGACCTTTTTATATAAATAATTTTTCAAAGTATCACCATTGGGTAATTCCATTAATAAATAAAAATGCCTTTGTGTTCTGGAGATTCCTAAAAGTCTTACTACATTTTAATGATTTATTAAAGAATGTATATAAATCTCATTCATAATATCCTAAATTCAAAATATATAATACTTGTTCAGAAAAGTTCTCATTTGGTTCTATGCATTTACAAGCATACATATTTTTATTCTGATAACTTACTACTTTCAAGACCTTTGATAATCAATACGATAATTACATTACTATAACTTCCTTTCCCAATTTCATAAATGGGTTTATAAAACTTGTATAAGTTTGAAAAGAAGATTTATGATTTCACTGTGTCTTAAAATACCTAACAATCTTCTGGTTTCATCTCAAATTAAATGAGTTTCTTATTATAGATGAACTCAAATCCAATAAATTTGTTGTCGACTAAGTTCCAATTTACTTCAATCTCAGAATAAAAGGGAATTGAGTATTTTACTATGTTAGTTCCCTTAGATAAATGAAATGAATTACATCTATTATGATAATCTCGTGAGTTTTGATTCCAATTTTGTAAGTGTTATTGAAAAGTTTGCGCTTTCTTTTGCAGATAAATTGCATATATACAAATTTATTAATTGAGTGCATGAAACTTTAGGAAATTCCAGTATTGTAAGATATCACGATTTATATTTAATGAGAACATATATATATATATATTGAATTCAATATTGGTCCTAAACCTCAATTATTTTTAAACTTTAAATTGAAACTGTCTTAACCTTTTGGATTTTCTAATCTAAAATAATCAATTTAAAGACATAATTCTTGATGATAACTATATTTTAGCATTTGAAATAATAATAGAGTTGCATTTAATTATGAGTTTAGATTTGTCATATCATTCCTTTGAGAGGAATTTAAACTTATTATGGTCAATTAACACTATAAAACACAATATTATGGATTTTTAAAGTACATTTCACTGTAAAAGGATTCATCAAATAAATCTTCTCTATGTAATCTAATGATGATATTTTTATTTAATACAATTAAATATAAGCACTTCAAAACTAAAGATCTCAATCAATTCATTATATGGATGATAAGGATCAAAAATTTAATGGTTTTTAGAATTAAGTGCTCATCAATTTCAGAATTAGGTATCTAATACCATATACATCCTTTTTGTTTTCAAATCTAAATCTATTAGGTAAAGTTTAGAATGGATCAGAATAGTAAGCCTCATATTTCGATTTATATATCTTTTCAAATGAAAATATACACAAATATTTAATATTTGCTAAAATTATTAAATTATCTATTTTCATAATTAAGTAAAATATTGAGTTATCTAATTTAATTTCTCAAATATTTTTTAGAGTTCCACCTTTTATTAAATCATTTATTAACCAAAACCTTTTATCATTTAATAAAACTTCTTTCACTCAGATAATATTTAGATGATCTAATGGCTAAAGAATAGAAAATTAATTTAAATCCTTTGAATTAATATTAAATTATGATAACTTCAATAAAGATAGATTAAACACTATATGATTAAAACTCTTTCACTAGGGTATCAAATATTCTAATAACCTATATATATATAAATTTTAAACCCATATACTTATTTATTCTTGTTTACCAGTTTAAATACAAAATGTTTCGATTGATATTTATTGAATTATTAACTGAAAGATTTGATATTTTATTTAAAAAAAGTGATGGTTCTCAGAAATCATCTTAGAGAGATATAATTTAATTAAAGAATAATTTAAATATTGCTATCTAAATAAGTATGTAATAGTAATTGAAGATTAATTTTCAAATTAATTAATATAAAAGAAACTCATTCCTATATTTCCAGTTAATTTTAAGGTACTTATAATACTTATTAGTTCCTATCATCAATATTAAGTTCTGGTAAGATTTCTATTAAAACATTTTGAGCTTATTATTATTATTATTATTATTATTAAGGTGCTTAAATTACTTATTAGTTTTGATTTTAATGAATAAATTAAGTAAGTATTTATTGTCTACAATTAGGACAAGAGTTCTTAATTCTAATCCATGGTTTCAAACATTCTGAATGAAAAATATGAGAACAATTCAATTTCATCACCATTTCATTTTTTTATAAATTCATATCACAGATTGAGCAAACAAATTCATTCTCCATCCTAAACTTTAGAACTGGTAACATTTCAATTTATTCCTCACTTATTATTTAGGCAGATTATCTAATATAAGGATCTCTTGGAGGTAATAAATTTAAAGCACTAAGAATATCAGGTGTTTAATTTTCATTCTAATTTAAATATTATTCTCTTGCTCTAACAACACCAATTATACACTATTAAATCATTCTAATTAAGAATATTATTGTTATCACTACTAAAGTTATCTAACAACCTTTCTCCCAATCTTACTGCAAATTTCCAATTGAATTTGCTGCTGAATATAGCATTCTAGATGTAGTAATAATCAAAAATATTTTTATTAAGATACCCAATTTAGTAATTGAATAAAATTAGTATAGTAAAGTGAATATGATTAATTAACATAAAGTTTGATTTGGTTCAGGCAATTTCTCAAAATGGGTTACCAAAAAGTAGCCTATCATTTATATATTTAATATATCTACTTAACACTATGAATAAGCATACTACATAATAGAGAACTTCGTATGCACATCGGAATATTCCTTCTCTTTCAAACATAAATTCATTTGGAATCAAGGCTCTTCTCTTTAATAAATCATTTGAAAACAAGGCAAAAAGAACTGATTGAACATAATATGCTGCTATAAAATGGAGGGATTAAACATTTGAAAAACTTACTGATTCTGAATCTACAATTGTTATTATATTAAATGTTATTAGAAATGCCTAATTATCAAGTTCTATACCAAATTTATTATAATTAATGCATAATATTCCTTGTAGCAGTTCTGTCTAATATATCGACTAATCATTCCCAATGATGTGATTTACACTCGAGTTTTCATTAGAATGAATAAAATTATTGCAACCAATAATTCTGTGAATCCTAAAATTAGCCCATACACAAAAGCCAGCTATTCAAAATAAGGTTTCTACTATTTAAGAATGTCAACTTTACATCATCTATTTTCTTCCAAAATATATAGAAATAAAGCCCAGCTGATATGAAGGCTACTTAAAATACACATATTAGCATTTTTAATTAGTTTTGCGTCATATATTATAATATATATTTAATAACTGAGAATTTTATAGCTCTTATCTTGACATTAACAAAAATCAATTTATTTTTAAACATAATAGATATTTTAATCTTTTTTCAATTAAATAATCTGCTTTAGTCAGAACATTATTCTTAACATATATGAGAGAATTAGTATTAATTATAAAAATATTAAAATTATAATTTTTGTTCTCAATTCGAGATTTAAATATGAAAATGAATATTTATTAATAAAATAAAAATTAATGATTTAAAGTTAATCATAACAATACCGCTTTGGATCTGAACCTATAAATGCCATTATCAAAAGTTTAAATTTACCTTTCTAAATTGACTATGTTTAAGAAATTTGCATTTTTGAACAATTAATCAAATTAGTTTAGATTTCAGAAAAACTTGAAAATTATAGCAAATATTTTACGAATTCATTTACTTAATTAGAAACTCTCAAGCCATTTTATTTAACTATATCAAAGTGTTTAATTTAAGGAATTGATATGAAAAATGATATTTTGGAAAATTGCTAAAATATGCAAAATTTTATTAAACATAATTAATTAAAATACTTAGAAAATGAGAAATTGTTATCAGTATCAGACATGCTTTTAGTAGAAATATTGGAAATTGTGAATAATATTTATCCAAATTTACTTTATAATTACTTTTAAATATTGTATCAATATTTAGCAAAAGTTTTATCAAACAATTTTTTGTAGAATTACTATTTTAATATTGAATTTATGATGAAGGATTTCTCACCCAAAGTTAAAAATGTACAAAATATTTTAAAGGGAGTTATTTAATCTAATTTAACAACTTTTCATGATTTTGCTTAATGTTAAGGAATATTGTATAGATACAAGGAGGATGGTAAATAGTTTCCAGACAATTGTCCAGTAAGTTTATTCCCCTTATATGTATGATAATAATATATAAATAAATAGATAAATTATGATATTATAGAAGATTTAAAAAAGAAAACTATTTTATAGTAAAAAGTAGTTGCTAAGATGGGTATGGATTTTGAATGGTATACTAATATCTTGGGAAGATTAGCAAAACATGATGAATTTATTAGAAGAATGATTTCAATATAAGACAAAGTAGAAAAATCATAAAAAAAGTGTCCTTATACAATTTGTATCGTAAGAAATGATTTTTTGCATCATGCTTCATAAAATTAATGGATGCAAGTAGAATATAATTGTATAGCTATAAGTTTTGGATTTATTTCAGATAGAGTTCAAAAGTATCATTCTTTATTATTTGATTCTTATTATAAATAAATAAAGGAGGATTATAAAGTAAAAGTGAAATAAGATTTAAATCACGATATAATGGTAGATGCATTGCAAAAAGCTTATCAATTATATAATAATAAAAATGCCATTGTTCTAATAATAACTGCAGAATTTGAAGGGAATGTTTATGATCAAAGATATATAGAAAAAGGATTAGCAAAATTAGGAATTTTAAGTAAAAGGACTACTTTTGTAAAATTAATTGGTAACATCATTTGTGAAAATGGAATTCTAAAAGCATTTGGATAAGAAATAGCATTAGTTTATTTTAGAACAGGTTATACTTTTGATTAATATGAAAATGAAGTATAAATTTATAATAAATGTTAGGAATGTTGGAATATAAGAGAAATGATTGAATTAAGTAAGGCTCTTAAATGTCCAAGTTTGAATACATAATTAGTAAATTTTAAGAAACTTTAATAAATCTTGTTGGATGAATCTTAAATTTAGAAGTTTTTAACAAAAGATGAATCAAAATTAATAAGCTAGAACTATTGTAAAATTTGGGGTTTTGATAATGAAGATTAAGATGAAAAAGTAATATGATATAATGAATAATTAGTTAATAGAAATGATTTAAAAGAATCCTCATGATTATGTTTTGAAACCATAAAGAGAAGGTGGAGGAAATAACTATTATGATGATTAAATTATACCTGAATTGTTAAAATTGAGTCCTGAATAACGAACTGAATTCATAGTTATGGAAAGAATCAAGCCAATTCCTCGTATTGGATTTATGATGAGAAGAGGTTAATTAGATATATAAGCTGTAATAAGTGAAATAAGTGTTATTGGATATTTTATAAATGAAGGGGAAAACATATTGGTGAATGAAGTTGGTGGATATTTAGTTAGGACTAAGAGATATTTAGATAATGAAGGAGGAGTAGCTGCAGGTTATGCAGTTGTTGATTCATTTATGATATCAGATAATTGATTTATCAATTATTTAATAATAATAATTTCATTTTATTTAATATAATATACAATATTATAATTTATTAATATCATAATAAATCTGTTAAAAGAGTTTCGAAAGTTTTAAAATTTAACTAATTTATAATTTAAAACATTACATGAGGATGATCATATTAATTAAATGCTTCTTATAATTCATTTTCTCGTGACTTATATATATTTACTAAAGTTGATTAAAGCAAGTACTTTTTAACTGTTGCGTATAGATTGAAAATAATTTCAATATTTTCAGATGTTAATAACTAAGTACGATCAACTGAAATAACCAAAAACTCTTAAAAATCCATCTTATTTTTAAGAGAAAGTAAATCAAAAAGAGAATTAATCTACTCCTCTTTATCAGGATATTAAGCTAAACATTCATTTCTTGTAATCTTTCCATCATAATCTACATCAAGATTCTAAAACACTTTTTATAAACTTATTTTTTATTCTTCAAATTAATTGATAAATAACAATAATAAACATTATTGCAAAACACTTATTTGTTTTAAATTTTTATTTCTTTCCAATATTTTATCGAATTCTTATATTTCATAAGTTTTTGGTAAAAATTGATCTTTTAATGCTTCTGAAAGATTTATTCTTTTTTCAGGAGTAATATGTAAAAACTTTTCTAAAAATTCTTTAGCAGCAGAATTATCAATATGTAAATGCTTTTTTATCCTAACCTATTCTATTTCTTTAATGATATCTGAAGCATTTGTTGTTTTAAAATATCTACCAAACAAAAGATTATGTGCTATCATTCCAACTGCCCAAATATCTCTTTCTTTATTATATATAGTATAATCTAGTGTACATTCAGGAGCGTAATATTCAGCATCATGATTAGTAGGGTCATGTCTTATAAAAATACTCTAAATATCAACTAATTTAACTAAATCATTATTTCTTTCAAAAGCACCAAGCCATAATGCTCCATGTGTCAAATTTTTACTATGCAAATAGGATACTATTTCTATTATTTATTTTAAAATAAATGGTTATTTTTCAACAGGTTCAGAATATGTAATAGGAACTCCTTAAGCACATTCTTTAATAATTATGTATTAAGATTTGTCCTCCAAAATTTCTATAACATTTGTAATATTTGGATGTAACTAAGTATATATTCTATAATACTATACCAATTAACATTTCAGCAGCTCATCAATATAAATTTTAGTCTCTTTAGTGTTTTCCAAAATATCAGCATAATGCAATTTACCTGTCATATTATGTTGAACTAGTATGCTACCTCCAGGGATTCTTGAGAAGCTACTTTTCTTGCTTTATTGAATTGAATAAAATTTAGAGAATGCTACTTTCTTTACAGTAGCATTCATTTTAAATGTTGTTTTATGTTTACTTGTTCTTACTTAATCTTATTCTATATTTTTTAAATCAACCATTGGAGTTGAAAGCCTACCCTTTAAAACACAATCACTAGATGCACTATTAAATTGAAATTGTTGATTTCTTAAAGATTGCCTTTAAGAACTCTAAGGTTTCTTTTTCTCTAAGCAAGCACTTTTTGGTTAAGAATTAGATGTTTGTTTTGATAGATCAAGATTATTTTTATTGGGGATTTGAATTTCAAGATTAACTTTGTTTTATTGTGTTTTTTTAGTACCTTAGCAAGTTCCCATTAATATTATTATTTTATGATAGCATCGTAATTAATATCTTAAATAAATGAAAAATCAAATTAAATTATAATTGAAAGAGATAAAATAACATAACAAATGGAAGTACATTTACCTGTATAATTGTGGTTTTTAAAAGATTATAATATATTGGTGAAATAATATAAATAATTAATAATTAAAATATATATATCACTAATAAAATATTAAGATGAATTATAATATATAACATTTCACCAACTTTGAATAATTTTTCTAATGTGATCATGTTCTTTTACTTTTTTTTCAAGTAAAGCTTTAGCTAATTCCATAAGATGAAAATATTATTAGAAATTAAATTCAGGATGTTTATTTTTAACTAATTTAACAGCCCAACTATCAAATAAGAGTAGGACATCAGAAATATCACTAATTGCAAAAGTATTAGTATAAAGATTGCGATTTTTGGGTTCTCCAGGAAATGCTAATATTAGATGAAGAAGAGTAACACCCAATGCATAGAATTCATCCATTTTATCATATTCTTTATTAATTTAAGAATTGGCAGTAGCATAGCCACTAGTACCAGAATTAATTGTATTTCTTGATTTAATAGAGTTTAAATCCTTATCATTTAATTTTTCATCTGTTATAATAGATAGTTTTGATTCCCTTACATCTTTACCTTAATCGAAATCAGCTAACATGACTTAAAGTTGGCAATCAATACCATAAGTAACAAATATATTCTCAGGTTTCAAATCTCTATGTACTATACCTCTCTTATGAATATATTCTAATCCATCCATTATTTATAACATAATTGTTTTTATTTACTCTATCTTTTCTTTACAATTCATTGGATTAAGGTAGTAATAAGCATAATTAAGCAGATCATTTGTTTAATGTTTAAGTCCTGGATATGAACAGAATTCAGACATTAAATAAAGGGAATAACCTGATTCTTCTTCTTCAATCCACCAATCATAAAGTGTTAAAACATTTGGATGATTAAGTTTTGATAATATTTTAGCCTCACGTATTTTCCTTTAATCATTTGTAATTTCTGATAGATTTACTGTTGAAAATACATCAAAAAAAGAAATAACATTAGAAGCTAATTAAGACTATATAATATTTATTATTATTATACTTTCTTTACAGCATATATTTAATCATCCTTAATTCTATATACAAAAAATATTTGAACTCCAGATTTTAGTTCATTTTCATTTGTTTTTTGAAGAATTAAGAATTGCTTTTTAAAATAATCCTTCTTAATGAATTCTTATTTTAACCAATTACTTTAATGACATAGTGGCAGACTTTTTTTCATCTAATTTTCCACTTCACCTTCATTCTATGATATAGTCTTTGAACCTGCACTATTTTATTTAAACTACTCTTTTTCTGATTTTTCTTTAGTTAAAATAGGAGATGTAAACTCTGGACTAGATTTACTAGATTTATTTCTTTCATCAATTGAGAAATAATTTGCTATAATTTTTAGATCCTCTTTATTAAAATTTAAATTGATTTGTCTATTATCTAAACTATTGGCTATTGATTAATGAACATAAATAAAAACTGTAGATTTCAATTACCCTGTTGATGTAATATATCCAATATTCATGTCAGAATAGAAAAGTCTCATCAATCTTTATTATTCTTTCTAATATTTAAATCATAAATACTTGCCATTGTTCTTTATCTTAAATTTTCTAAGCTTTTATTAGAATCTTCTAAACACCTTTGTATACTGCTTTTTCCATCAAAAATTATAGATGTGGATCTTGTTCACTAATGTATTTATCTTTTCTTATCTAACATATAACAATAAATTCTGAAAAGATGCTTTTCTCTTCTGAACTTAAAAATTCTTATTTATTTCGATAATCTAATTCCTAATTCAATTTATATTCAATCTTACTAATAAAGCTTCCAATCCACCTTATTCTTATCTATCAACTACAGTATTAGAGAATCTCTTATCATCATCTGTCTATTCATTTATAAATGTTTGATCTTCATCTGTGAATCTTTGATCATCTTCTTATTTGTTCACATTCTCACTTTAATTCATTCAATTATATTTTATTTTATTAAATGCCAGAAAATACTCTTGAATTGTGGATTTGGATCAGTACCCAAATAGTCATAGTACTTTTTGCCATAGCATTATTATATTGTCATCTTAATGAAAGAGATAAATTCAAAAAATAAGTAATTCATTTTGTATAAAGATCTAGTTGTATGATTTCAGAGATATTCGAGAAACTACAAATACCAGAGAATTTACAGATATTAATAGAAATTAGGTTTAACCACTTCTTAGACCTTTAAACGGAGACATAAATGATAAACAGTGATTTTAGGTTATTATTATTTATCTATTACATTAAAAAGAGAAATATATTAATAACAAAAAAGAAAATCTAAATGTTTAAAATTCAAAATATTTATTATATAATCTATAATATTATAATATACATAAGTATCTTATATTTATAATAATTTATTTTTTATTATTATAAATATAATTGTATGTAAAGATACACACATCTTTCTAAGTATTTAAATTGAATTTTAACAATTATGCATTGATTTCTGAAGATGTTTGAATCATATAATGTGTTTAATATCAAATAATATTTATGTAATCTACATATAATCATACTTAATAAGGAGGTTGGATTTGAATTTAATATTAATAATAATATAATCAAATGGCTAGCAAAGTGTCAGGAATGTTTTGGACTTGGGTGCATTCTTCAACAGGACCTAAAACTACACATTTTTGGGCTCCAGTATGCAATTGGTTTTTCCCAATTCAAGCATTGTATGATTGGAATAGAGACCCTGCAAAAATTAGCAAGGAAATGCAATGTGTTTTAGTTTGTAAGAATACTTGAATAAAATAGGTTATTCATCATTGTTTATGAGATGGGCACTAAGAATATCTCCACAAAGTTATATTCTGTTCTGCATGCATTTGTTTAATGCAACTTTATAGGGAAGATTATTATTAAGAAGATTAATGTGGGAATCAAGTTAATAAAAAGCCATTGAAGACAAACCAACTAATTGATTGTCTATTAAGAGAAATTTATATATATATATAAATAAATCTATAAAAATAAATGCAAACTGATTTAGACAAATCGATAGAGAAATTGAAGAACGGAGAGTTATTGAAGGAGAAAGATGTCAAATAATTATGTGCTAAAATAAGAGAAATATTCATTGAAGAAGGAAATGTATAAAGAATAGATCCTCCAGTTATTGTAGTAGGAGATATTCATGGATAATTATATGATTTATTTGAAGTTTTTAAATAATCAGGAGAAGTTGGAGATTAAAATTATCTATTCTTGGGAGACTATGTAAATAGAGGATTTCATAGTATAGAATCAATTTGTTTACTTTATTCATTAAAAATAAAGAATCCAGATAAAATTACTTTATTAAGAGGAAATCATGAATCTCGTATTCTAACATAAACCTTTGGATTATATGACGAAGCAATGAGAAAATATGGTTCTTTAAATATTTGGAGATATTTAACTGAATCATTTGATTATATGCCATTGTCAGCATTAATTGATGAAAAAGTATGGTGTGTACATGGTGGTATAGCTTAAGATGCTAAATTATTAGATGATGTATAATAATATCATTATATTTTAGGTAAGAGCATTAAATAGATTATCTGAAATCCCTGATAATGGTGAAATGTGTGAACTTTTATGGAATGATCCAAATGAATAAGAATTAAAAGGTTATGGAGAAAGCAAAAGAGGAGTAGGAAAAGAATTTGGTTAAGATGTTTTTGCTTAATTTTTATAAACCAATAATTTAAGTTGTGTTCTCAGAGCACATTAAGTTATTATGGAAGGATATAGAAGTATATTTAAAGATCAACTTAAAACTATCTTCTCTGCTCCTAATTATTGTTATAGATGTGGTAATTCAGGAGCTGTTTGTGAAGTTAGTGATAAATTAGAAATGAGAGCTAAAATATTTTAAGCTAGTGAAAATTAAATGAAAAATGCTCAAACTAAAATTTGGAATCAGAATCCAGATTATTTTTTATGATTTTCTGAATTCTATCAATTTATATATATATATCTAAAAATAAAAACTTTTAATATAATTTTTTGTATTTTTAATCTTCTAAATTAATAACTATTTATCAACACCAAAAATATAACTAATTCTGAATTAATTCTGATATTGATCTATAAATAACATTCATTTCAATTATAATTAATAATTTTCATATCTAATTATATTATGCCACCAAAAAAATCAACTCCTAAAGTTACCAATTCACCTCCACCAGCAGCCAGAACAACTAGATCGAAAAAAAATGATAAAGCAGAAGATAAAAAATAGTATTCCAATTTTAAACATTTTTTAGAGATATTATTGATAAAGCTGTCAAAGATGTTTCAAAATCAAATAATTAAGATAAATAAACAAATCTTTCATAAAAAAATGATCAGCCTATAAATGATTCTAAAAAATCGACTTCTCCATCTCCTAAAAAAAATGTTTAAGAAGCTTCTAATACCTCAAACATTGATAAAAGTAATAAAACAGCCCCAATTGATGAGTATTTTGATGATTAAGAGAATTTTATTGTATATGAAGAGAACGGTAAAATTTATGATTGCATGATGAATCAAACCAATATTATGAATGATAATAATAATAACAAGTTTTATGTTGTCTAATTGTTGAAAAAGAAAGAAAAAGGTATGTATTAAATCTATAATTAGACTTTTATTATTTATATACAAGATGGGGTAGAGTTGGAGTTGAAGGATAATCAGCTTAATAATCATTTTTAAAAGTTGAATCTGCTAAAAAAGCATATGAGAGTAAAGTTAGACAAAAAAGTGTAAAAGGTGAATATAGAGTTTTGGAAAGAGATTATAGTGGTGAATAAGATCCTAAAGAATTGGAAAGATTAGAGAATCAAAAAGAATAAAGAGAGAAAGAGTCATATAATTAAAGTAGATTACATGCTAAAATAAAAGATTTGGTTAGATTAATTTTTGATATGAAGATGATTAATAATTAAATGAAAGAGTATTATTATTAATTTATATAAATAGAATTGGTTATGATGCTAAAAAAACACCATTAGGAAAATTGGCTGCTTCAACTATTAAAAAAGGATTTGATGTTCTTAAAGAAATATCTGAGGAATTGTAAAATAATATTCCTGATAAAACTGTTTTATAAAGACTTTCAGGTGAATTTTATAGTTAAATCCCTCATGATTTTGGATATATGAGAGCTCCGATAATTGAAACTCCTTAAATGGTTAAGAATAAATTAGAAATGTTGGAATCAATATAACATATATAAATTGCTACAAAAATTTTAGAAGAAAATTCAGAGGATACTAATGCAATAGATGAAAATTTCAAAAAATTAGGAATAAATATGTAATACTTAGAACCTACAGATGAAAAAGTAGATATTATTAAGAAATATGTAACTAATACACATTGTGAGACACATAGAGGATATGGATTAGAAGTCTTAGATGTATTTGAATTGTAAAAAGAGTAAGATGATAATCGATTCAAAAAAGATTTAGGTAATAGAATGCTTTTATGGCACGGTTCAAGACTTACAAACTTTGTAGGTATTTTAAGTTAAGGATTAAGAATTGCACCACCTGAAGCTCCAGTTACTGGATACATGTTTGGAAAAGTAAATTTTAAATTAATTAAATCTAGGGTGTTTATTTTGCAGATATGGTTTCTAAATCAGCTAATTATTGTGCAGTAACTAGAGAAAATAATACAGGCCTGATATTATTATGTGATGTAGCTCTAGGAAATACAAATGAAAAGTTTTATTCAGATTATTATGCAAATTAATTACCAGAAGGTAAACATAGCACTTGGGGAAGAGGTAAAACAATGCCACCTCTATCTGATAATATTTCATTTCCAGGTATGCCAGAAGTAAAAGTACCTATTGGCAAAGGTGCTCCATCAGGTGTTCCTCATGTAATACATTTATTTTATCTAGACATCCTTATTGTACAATGAATTCATAGTTTATGATGTTGCATAAATTAGATTGAAGTATTTGATCAAAATGAAATGGGAATTTAAATGAAACAACAAGAAGTGAAATCTTATATGTATTTTTTTATTAAATTTAACTAATATTAATATTATTTTTGTTATATTTATTAATAGAATAAATGAATTATTTTGATTTAAAACAAAAAGAAATTACCAATCATAGTTATTTTAACCAATATTTTATGAGGGATTTTAAATTGTTGAAAGACAATTTCTCTTAGAGTATAAGAAGTTTGATATTAGAGCTAAGTTTAATAAAAATAAAAATTCTATCATTTCATTATTAATAATAACTAAATCATTATCATTTCAATATATGGATATATATTAAATCAACCAGCCATCTCTATTTACATATTAATTAACATTTGAATTTAAAATAAAAAGAGTTCTAAATTTAAAGGAAAGTTCAGTATTCAAACTGATATTATGAAATTACTGGTTTGTTAGGCTAAAGTAATAGTATCTTGTGAACTCCATCAAAATCAACTCAAAGACTATTATTCATAAGAGTCATGCTAGTATGATTTTAAAATTATTTAACTCATACCTGGAGAAATTGGTGTAAAATTTAAATTTAGGTTCAAATTTGATAGAGAATATTATTTAATGTGCACAAAGTTTAACTCAAAATTGTATTTTTTATAAATCATATGCAAGAAGATTAATAGAATTAAAAGGAAAAATATTTGATGAATGACCATAATAATGTATTTTTAATTCTAAGTAATGGTAAGGAAAATTGCTGGAAATAGATGGGCCAGTATCAGATTTGGCCAGGAAACATTTATGAACAATGTTACAAGTTATAATATATTAATAATAAAAAAAATTATGATATCTGGTAATATAAACCCAGAATATCGATATCTAAATATTATTGCCAAAACTTGGAATGAAGTTTATTTGGCTGAGAATCTATAGACGAAACAAAAATGCTGTATAAAGTAAGTGCTGATTGATGCATAATTGAAAGAGAGATTTCAATAAGAGATTTAGATCCTACAAAAAATAAAGGCTTATCCCCATCCAAATATTATATCATTTGAGGATAGCTTCTATTATGAAAAGGTGACAACATAGGATAAAGTATTGATTTATCAATAAAATCGAGTCAATCACTTTCGGCTGTATTGTCATGGAATTGGGTATTACAAACTTATAGTAATACATCTAATCCAAAAAGTAATCAGATCCAGAGTTTAGATTCTAGGAGTATGAAGTAGCAGACTTCTTTGTGACTATGATTAGGGCACATTCACATCTTTAAGAAATTAAAATAGCCCATAGAGATATAAAACCAGAAAATATTATATTAATCAATGATGAAAACTTATTGTTTAAAGTTTGTGATGTATAACTTAGTATTTAAACAGGTTGGTTTTGGTACTGAAATTTTTGATGAAGAATCAAGATCAAGAACTATTGGAGGAACTGTCGGATACTAATCACCTGAAGTTTATAGAGCATTTAAAAGAAGAAAACCTTAAGCTAAATACAATCCTTATAAAAGCGATGTTTTCTCTCTTGGTTTAGTCTTTTTATTGTTTGCTACTAATCAAACTATTACAAAATAGGTATACTAACGTTCTTTTAATTTTAGTAAAGAGAGGAATTATTTGATGATGATATAAAACTCTTTAATTACTTAAGAGAATAAAGAAAGAAAGTCAAAGAATTATTTCCTAGAATTAAAGGGGTGTCTAAAATTTTAAAACTCATGTTAGATATTTCTCCTGAACAAAGATACGACTTTACTTAATTAAGTCAAATTATTGAAGAGAGATCTTATTTAGAAGTCAAATCTGTAAATTTTTTGATTTAAATAGCCTGCAAAAATTAATCATAAACATCTCTAATCAATTACTAAATTTGATGATTTTTAATTAGATATAAAAAATAAAGAAGATGTTCATTTAGATTTAAATGGAATGCAAAATAGATCTTAGGATGAATTACTAAAATTCTTAGAAACTATTGCTTAACAAATTAAAAACTTTTAAATGATCACTTTATAAATAAAATTAGAGATGAGTTGTTTAAATGTGAGAACTGTTGCTCCAATCGAAAAAATATTAAGTCGAGCACAGAAATTAAAAGAATTATAATTGCAACTATGGAAGTACATCATTTTTTAGATTGATTTATAGTAATAAATTAGGAAATTTGGGATTGCTCTTTTTAATTAAAGCAATAATGAAAATGAGCGATTTAAAAAGACTAACTTTAGAAATATCTAATAATTTGATTTCAGATGAAGGGATTAATAATTCATTACCTCTTTTAGAAGGATTAGTTCAAATGGAAGAGCTAAAATTGGATTTCGGATTGTATTAGTTCTAAATTAATTAAGAAATCACTTACCAATGGATTGTTGTGAGGCATTTTTTTCAGTTATAAGTGCGATGCCTAAATTAAAAAAGCTTGATTTAAATTTAGAAAGTAATTATATGAATTAAGTACTTTCTAAATTATTAAATTAATCTTTGAAGAAATTGCCACTCCTCACTCATTTAAGTATAAATTTTTCTAAGTATTATTTCAACTTTAATAAGTAATCCGATGCATAATGAAGGATTTTATGATTTGGGAGAGAGTATATCAGAATTAGAGAATTGTGAATTAATTCTTTGGGGTTCTTAAATAAAAGATTTAGGAGTTGAGGAGTTTGCAAAAGGATTATAAAAATGTGAAAGATTAAAACATTTAAATTTGACTCTATGGAACAATTAAATTACAAAGAAAGGTTGTGAATCTTTAGGTTTGGTTTTACCAAAATTGTAGAGATTAAGTACTTTAGTAATTGATTTATCAAAAAATCGTATAGAGGATGAAGGATTAAGATTCTTGGCAAAATCTATTCATGAGATGTAATAACCTTTGAGAGAATTGAAGTTTTGGGCCGAGAAGTAAAAAAGTTAATAATATATAAATAGTGTATGTTGTACATCTTTTGGATTGAGATATGTGAATAGATTTTTATCATCTTAAAAGAAATTGAGAAACATCAGTTTGAATTTTCGATCTAATTCTATAGGATTAGATGGAATGGAATTACTGTATAATGGTTTTGGTTAAGCTACTTAGTTAGAGATAGTAAATTTGGTACTTGATCAGTAAAAGTTTCATATAACTTTAGTAATCCTTTAGGAGATGAAGGTGTTAATACATTATTTAAGGGTTTATGTAAACTTAGAGAATTATAGAAATTGTATCTAAGTCTTGAAAGTGTTCAAGGTACTGGAAATTCTGTGACAGTAATGTTGTCATCTATAAAAACTTGGACAGAACTTAAAGAGTTGCATGTCAATTTTCTAAAGTAAATTATTGATACTATTTAGAAATGATACTGATTGGGCTGATGATATCAATTTGAGAAACCGATTGTTAGAAATCTAGTCCAATGCTAAAATAATTATTGAATTAAAAACTATAAATTAATAGATTAAGTGATTAATTATTTGATCTTACATATTTCAATCAAATTATTTATATAATTAACGACTTATATTTGAATTTTTTAATATAACTATTCAATATTAATAAATTAAATTTCAAAAATACAGAAGAAAAAGCGATGGTTTTTAAAAATATATAAGTCTTTATTAGTCCAGAGGAGCACCCAAAAATTAAGTACTTTACGACGGAGATAAGAAAAATTCAATAAGAACCTATAATGGTATTTTTTATTAATTTAATATTAGATAACTCAAATAATAGATAAGGATTTAAAATTGGTTGGGATATTGATCAATCTAGAAAAGGAGATACAAAAATAGCAGGAAAAGTTGGTCAAGATTAAAGAAATTCATATATCCCATCTTATTAAACATAAACATATGTACCAGTTATTGAAGTATTCTATTACATAATTAGTAAAATCAAGATGATGATTATATGAAATAGTTATATTATCAAGAAATGAACAAAAAACAAGAGCTAACTGGTTTGTACAGGCAACCTGAAAATTATTAGAATGTTTTGGATAATTATAATAATGGAAAATAATGTTCAAATAATAACTATTCTAATGCTTATGATTAACCATAATTATTATAATAATCAAACAAATATGAACATTATCAATAACCAAATAATGATGAAGAACTATATTAAAAAGTATCTTTTTTATATATTAAATCAAGTATAAACAAGGAAATAGTGGCAATAAATAATAGAATGTAGGTAAAGCACCATTAGCTTAATACAATCCTATTACTGGAATTGCTTATGAGAATGCATATACTCATCAAAGAACTTATGAACCATAACAACAATAATAATAATAGGATGATGCTCTTAGTTCATTTAGTTAATGTATTAAAATGGTTATCATTATGTAGTGTAATAACACAAAGTAACCTCGATGAAAAATAAAAACTCGAACATCTTCAATACAGATCTTTAAGAGACTGAAAATATCAATAATAATAGATAAAATAGTAGAGTTTCAAATAAAAGAAAAGAATTAGATGATGCTCAATATAAAGGATATGGTACATGTTTGAAAATTATTACGGTTTAGGTTAGTTCTACAAGAACCCAATAGAGCCGATCTAAAGCCAATATAGAGAGTAGAAGTTCGTAAATAGAAATATGATTGATAATCAGATATTTCCAAAATGATTATATAATTAACATAATAATTATATAAATTAATTTAACACGTATAGTGTGAATATAAAATTACAAAATGATTGAGTGAGAATTCAATATTAAATTTAAAATGAGTTAAGAAACTTTGAATGGAATTAATGGAATATTATAAGATGTTTAAAGTTTTGGTTAGGAGAGTTATAGATTTATAAGAAAATGCACCAAACCAGATAAAAGAGGTAAATGAATGTAAAATAGCAAATAGAGTACATTAAGATTGCAACATCATGTGCTATTGGTTTTGCTGTAATGGGAGCTGTGGGATACTTTATAAAGTTGGTTTTCATTCCAATAAATAATATAATATTAAGTGCCAATTGATTTTGTTACATTTACATTTTATGATAAATATTAGTATATTAGTAATGTAATTATTCATTAATCAATTAAAATAAGCTAATATTGAGTAATTAGTTAGCAAACACACTTTAAAAGATATTCCAGTATAATTGAAAGCTATTCGATTAAGTTATGAGATTGAAAACAAATCAAATGCATTATTAGAGATATATAAATGTAGGAATAGAAATGATGATGTAATAAGATAGGCAATTTAGATAGTGAATCAAAGTTAATTTGATAACGAGGAGATTGTTAAAAATATAAGGATAGAATAATTTTAGTATAGATAGAAACTGAAGTAGATTTAATAGAAGTATTTTTTGAAGATGGGATTATTGATATATGGATTATTATTTGGTTTACATTTGGGTGTTTAAGGTTGGTATTATTTAGAATACGATTTGTGGTTATCAAATCCTGGAATTTCAGAGTATCATACAAATAGATTTCGTTGAAATATATTTATATTTGAACAAACAATAAATTTTTCACCAATGTGCTTCTTCTTTTAATTAAGCAACAGCATCATCTACTAATTCATTAAATTAATCTTCATTCTTAATCATATCGAGGATTTCATCAATTGTATAATTGGATGGATCTGAAAGCACTTCACTAACTTTCCTCCAATGAGGCTCTGTATCTTAATTTAATTTAGATTTAATTCTATAATACAACATCATTCTAGAAATAATAAATAAAATAAGATTACTATAATTATTTGACTTATTCTTCTTCAGGTTTAGCTCTAAATATTTCTAAATTATTTAATAAGTCTAATAAATCTTATCTTTAATTAAAAGCAACAACTTATATAGGAGCTAATTCAGTAATCTATTAAATTGGAGGAGGTAATGGAGTTTATCTAATTGGATTAACTGGATTAGGAAATGGTCTTCTCATTCCACCTCCTGGAATTCTTTATTACATAGGAAATGGATATGGCATTCTACCACCAAATTAACCTGGACCTGGTGGCATTTAATACATTCTTCTATTTGGAGATTATCTTTAATTAATTCTTCTCTATCCTCTTTATTAAGATTATTAAGGGAATAAATGTTAAAAGTATTTTCCACCAGCTTATTCTACATTTTAATCAAAAAGTTTCTTAATTTCATCGAATTTCTCATTCTCTTTAAATGATTTAATCAATTTATTTGCATCTGATGCTTATTCAAATACTATATAACCTATTCTTATAATTTATTAAAATCCTTATTACATCTTTTCTAATCTGATCTATTCAAATTATAATATATATATATTACCATATAGATATCACCATAACCAGCATCTTTTAATGTTTATCTAATCATTTCTTCTGTTACATTTCTATTTAAATGATCTGCATAAATATATTTTGAATATATATTATTATCTCTTTATTATTTTCTATCTTTTTTTGTTTAGGCCCATCCTACATACATCTTTCTACCAGTATTTAATGGATCCAGCTATGAGTTTGTTCCTAAGGTAGTACCTAATGTTCTCTAGGCTTCTTTGGCATCTTGATATCTACTAAAACTTATAAATGCAAATGGAGCTTTGCGTTCAAGATCTATTTTAACTAATACACTGATTATTAAACCAAATGTACTAAACCATTCATTCAATTTTGTTCGCATTTCATTTTCCTTTTTAAAATAAATTTAGTATAAATACCAATTCTTCTCTAACTTAATTATTTTCTAAATCAAATGAATCTAATGAAGTCCAAAAATTCTTTATGTATAAATTACTTCTCTTATCTTCACGTTCACTTGTACCTTTCTTTACAAATCTTTTCACTATTATTGATGTCTTTTCATTATATTTTACTGTTCCTTCATTTAATTAACTCTCAGCTAATAATGTATTAGCTTACTCCTTCTTCTCATATTAAACCCAACCATAACCTATAATATTTTCTAATTCCATTACCTCTACTCTTTTTATTTTCATCTGCTGATAATTTCACACTGACTACTTATCCCCATTTTGAGAAAAATTCTTCAAGTTATTTCAGTGTTACATTTAACTCGAATCCTGCAAAAAATAAATTTGCATCTTTCTCATAATCCTATATGTAAGTTATACGTATTGGCTCTCTAAGAAGCTATTTGTAATTCATGGCTTCTTTTGCTTTTCTTGCTTCTTCTTGTGATGAAAAATAGATGAATCCATAATGCTTTGATTTTCCAATAAATGGATATCTAATTATAACTCTACATTATACCTATGCAATTTAACAAAGCTTATCTATCCAAACTTCCTAAATTCAACATATAGTTATTCCTCTGTTATACCATCTTCTAAATCTGCTATATGGAGTCCATTTTGGGGAGGTCTATTCTAATCTTAATAGCCAGGAAACTTAAACACTAAATCAATAAAAACAAAGACCTTACTTTTATCTGGATTTAATATTCAAAGATTTAAAAATTCTTTTAATTTTTAGTGAGTATGTTTTATTCCTATTTAACAAAGAATAATTGTATCAAATAAAGAAGAATTTATAATTATTTTTTCATGTGGATAAATAAATCTCATTATATTCAATGAGAATTTAATGAATCAATAAATTTCTAAAAGTGATTGAATCCATTTATTCGTAGCATTTTGTTCTTATCTTAATACAACTATATGTTTATCAGATCTAATCTTTAGAGCACTATTTAATTCAGATTCACTCTCCTTTGTTGCAATAACATTACATTCTAAATTTTTAGTATTATAATTTTCTATGATTTCACTTGAGATTTAACTTTTAGAAATTTACATTTTAGGAACATTATATTTGGCAAATGGAAAAATAAGAATGTCTAAAAACACATTAGAAATTTTCAATAGTATAAGATCAATTAAGTAAATATTACAAACATTCTAAAAATAGAATAAAATTTTTACGTTAATCATTTCAGTGATTATATTACAACATATAAAGAGTTCACAAAATATATAGAAACCAACAATTATATGTAATTCTTGCTTTAATTTTCCTTCAGGCTTTAAGCGACTTAACATACACAATACAAATATAATTAATCCAACTGCACCAAATCCCATAATAGCTATGCTTCTATTCAAACTGAACTAATCTTTGAATATCCTATATTAATACTTATTAATTTATACCATATATCAAATGAGAGAAAATCAATTAAAAATCCAATCATGTATATTTAAATTACTATGCCAAATCCAATTAAGTTTTTGTTTAAGATTAATAAGGACATGAGCAAACACAAAGCCAGTTGTTGAAAGATTATCAACATCAAATAATAGTAATCAAACTATTATATCAACAAAATAATTGAGATAGCACAAAAACTAATAGCCAGTGCAATAAGGAGAGGTTTTCTGATTTGATATTTGTGTCTAATGAAAATTAATACCATAAGTATTAAACTGATGAGAAATTGTAAAATTTGTAAGGTTAAGGTTAGCCAATCAAATTATAAGCTAATATTTCAGTAATTATAATACTTTGAATTCTTGATGCTGATATAAATCAAAGAAATGATATTTGTAGTAGTGTAAAATTAAGGTATAGAGTAATGACATAAGACTTACATGATTAATAAAGACAATATAATTATTTTTTATATGAATGATAAGATATAAAATTAATACCAAACCATATGAAATTTATTGTAATTTTCACTAAGGTCTACTCATACCCAATATAACTTCACGAGCATATGCAGTCTATCCTAATCCTGCATCATTTAAAGCAACCTACAATCGATATCTCATGTCTGACATTAATTAATTAATATTAAATCCTGTAACATTAGACTTTACAAAATAATTGATATGTTTACTAAAGGTATTTTATCAGCTTTATCATATTTAGTTTGTTTTCTCAATTATCTTGTTTCAGTCTCACTAATTAGTCTTTAAAAATCCTTATCAACATTTGGTCTAATGCTGTACCTATTAATAGCATCCTCTATTCTCTATGCTTTTATTTCTGGTTCCATTTTCTTAATCTCTTATTTCAACTTTTTATCCTCTCTTTTGACTACTTCTTTATCTTATCTTTATTGTACTCTAGGTTTTGCTTATTCTATTTATTATTATTATTATTTTTTAGCCATCTCAACCTACTATTATTATTAAATTAAATATTGTTGTCTCTTTTACTCTTTCTCTGCTTAATAAGTAAGTGCTATTTCAGCAATATCAGCTTTGTGTTTCAACCATTCATCATGTTTAGCTTGTTCTAATAATTCTTGTTATTCTCTCTCATCTTCTTTTTATTATTACAAAATTTATTATTTCTTTTCATATTCAATACGTCTATATTTATTAGTTATAAGAAATATACTTCTCTTCTAATTCTTCTGCTATTCTTATTCTTTATTGTTTCAATTACAAGTATTCCATCCATCTTTAATTTTTTTATATTTTGTTCTATTACATATCATTTAACAATTATTCTGATTTATTTTATAATTACTAAAGATTTAAATTCAATATTGATTACTGAATATTCAATCTTCCAATTTCTTTATAGAATTGCCAATCTTTTATTGATATCTTTCTATTTTCTAATATAATCAACAACTTCTTATAATTCAGGTCGACTCTTTTTTGGATAATGAAGCATCAATCTCTACATCCCATGTAAACTATTTGAAGATCCAAGATACAACATTTCTTCACTTATTTCTATTCTTTCTTTTGGAGTCAATTTCTATATTTCTAATTAATACCTTTCATGAAGATATTCTAATGCCTTAGCATAATTTTCTAGTATTTCTAGTTCTTCATCATCACAATTTTATGCATATAATATCAATTCTAAATGGTATGATTAATATTACTATACTATCATTCAAATATTCTTGTTCGATTCTACTTCTAAATGAATTGCATATAGCCACATTGCATTATTACATATCTAAAGTTTCTTCATTCTCTTCATCAACTATTGTTGATTCTTTTTAATATTCTACTTCCAATTTTTAAATCATTTATTATAAATAATCTTTAAATGAAAATCCTAACTCCTTAAATTAAGATGATTCATTATTAGTCTTCTTATCTAATCTTGGTAATTGTTCCTTCTTCAATTACACTTAGATCTTCTTTAAATTTTATAATTGATAAATTAGCTCATTTTTAACTTGTTTGTAATTTTGAGCTCCTTACTCTAAAAGAGCAGCTAAACAAAACTTAGGTAAATCAGATTAAATTTCTAACAGCAATAGTTTCGATTCCAAATCTATATTAAGCATTCTCTCTTATTTCATCAATTGTAAATACTCTTTGGTCCATTCTTATCTCTAAACTGATTAAACATTCTTATTTTTCATATCTTTAGACACCTAATCAAATTTAGAATCTAAAGATATACTTTCTTTATTTAGTTTAGTTTAGCTAAGAATTCTTTGCTTCTCTCTTCTTCTTCTTCAAATTATTTCTGTAACATATATTTATATATATATATATATATTTTCATGTTCTTAATTTTAGAAACATTCTCTTAATCATTCTGGATTCATATGATACTGTATGTTTCTCATCTAGTTACTCTAATGGATTTATTACCTAATTTATTTATAATATAATTATACAGATGGAATGGCCTTGCCATATTGATCAGCTGCATCTAAGAAATCCAAGATCTCACTATATGAAGTATCTTTTAGAATGATCATATGTTTTGCCAATACTTCAATTAAAGCAAGGAAACATCTTTTGACATAATACCATGTGTCTGTATTAATCTTTAATTAATAAAAGAATATACTTTCTTATTATATGGTTCAAGTGATTTGATAACTCTAGAAATACCGAATTCATAATTATTTTTTGAACAATAAAGTGTTCCTATAACTAAATTGACAATGCATAAATGATAAACAGATTTTTCAGGATCTTAATATTATGATTTTTCTTCTTCTTTTTCTAATTTTCGCATTAATTCTTCAGCATCTTCATTTTGATTAACCATAATATAACTGACACATAAATTAGCAATAACAATAGCAGTTAATGATAATAGATTATCACCATTTTTTTTAACAATAGGTTCATAATACCTAATAGCTTCTCTATATTTGTTATCTTGAACATAGAATACATGTGCTACATTAAGTTTCCAAACATCATGATCAGCACAAAATTCAGCAGATTATCTAAATAATTTTTCAACTTATGAATAATTTTCTTTATCCCAATATATTTTAGCTTATGCCATTAAAACAGGTATAAATTTTTCTAAACAATCATCAAATTCTTTAAGAGATTTTTTGATTCCATCATTATCTCTATTTAATCTAGCATCTTAAATAGATTTAGTGATTCTTCTAAGTGTATCAATATGTTTGTTTGCTAAAATTTGAAATTTCCTATAAGATTCTTCTGGACTAGCAGCACTTAAAATTAAAGCATCAACAAATTCAAAATCATCAGAACTAATAGTTTTGAATGTAAGATCAGCATTTTCAGCTAGTATATCAGCAGCCATATCAAAATATCCATATTTGCAATATAATAATAATAGATTGGAGAATGTTTCTGGTGGAAATGGTGGATTTTATAATAAATGATTTAATTTTTTAAATCCTTCAGCAGTTTTATCTTCAATATTCATCAATGCTTAATTCATGAGTGTAACTGGATCTAATTCATCTTCTTCTCTTGGTGGCATATCTACTAATGCTTCTTTAGCAGCATCATAATTTTTAATAGAATATTCAATAGCTGCTTTTAGATTAAATGCTTCAATTAAAGCAGATTCTTTCAATGCTTATGAATTACCTACACTTTTAACTTCAATTCCTTCAGCATTAGAACCTACTCCTAAATCTGGTCTTTCTCTTACTCCTCTTTCAATTATTTCTGCTATAAATTTTAGAGATTAAGCTAATTATTTTTATTTGTAATAACAAAGTGCTATATTGTATGCTAATTCACATGAATAACCAGTTAAATTCATCCCATCTTAAAATCTTTATCTTGCTTCATCAAATTTATTCTCTTTAAATAAAATGCATCCTTCATTTATTACTGAATCTGGATCATCCATTTCATTTTATTTCAATAATGTCTTTGCATGTTAAAATTCACTCTTCTCATATCGAATCAACGCTTACAATTATACCATCTTCCCTTAATATTATGGATTCTCTATTGATGCACATACTTTTAATGCCTCATCATAAAGACCTATATTCAAAAACTTTATTACTATCCTTATAATATGACTGAGCTAAGTAAATCTTATAATCCTCTATCTCAGGATAATACTTCACTAATTATTCATAACTATTTTATCTAATCTATCTTATACATTCCAACAGCAGAAGTGAAATCTTAATTCATATAATGACAATATGCTAATAATGATAGTGCTCTACTCTTTGGACAAAATTGCAACTCATAATTCAAATAATTAATAGCTTCTTTGTACTTTTAATCCTTTATTAATGTATATATTATTTTTGTTCTTTATCCTTCTGCAATTGGTGACACCGGTTGCATTATTTAATTTAACTTATTATGAATATCAAATACAAACCTTTATAGGGTTGGCAACAATACTCTATTTCTAATTATCCTACTAATCAACTCAAACTTTTAAGTGAATCACTCAACTATACTAACACCTTTCCTAATCAAAATCATATTAAATTACACTAATCTGTATCACCTAAAAAACATCCAATTTAACAATGTTACCTTTAAAAATCCATCATCATTGATCAAAACAATATACTTTCCTAAAAATAACATTACTTATAAAGTAATTTTATCAAAAAAGTATAATTCTCTCCCAAAAAACAAATAAAACACAGCTACATTGGACCTCTATTATAAGAAATTAAAATCTATCAGAAAAATAAGTAAATTGGTAAAAACGATTCAATTATCAAATAATTAACGAAATGAAATTTATCAATATTACTGTAGACTATCTTTTTTGATTTAAATTTTATAAATTATATTCATAAAATTTATTGACTTAATAAGATTAAAATTAATGAATAAAAATTTCCTTTATTTTTATTTCTTTCTTATGCTATAGTGATAATAATAGATATAAAAAGTTTAAATAAATTGTTATGAAAATATGAACATCTTATTATGAATAATAATTTTAATAATTTTTATATTAATTTTAAAAAAATGAAATAATCATCAAAAGGAATTTTAAAGAAGAATTCACAACATGATATAGATATGTATTGAAATGAATTTTATAGTAGGAAGAAAGAATTGCATTGGGATGAACATACAATATAGTAAAAGAATATTCTAATTTTATTAGATAACAAGATTTGGAGAGAGGAAATAAAACAAAAATTGATGAACCTAAAACACCATATGAAGATGATGTTATATAGTAAAATCAATAAGAAGATAAAATTGAAGTAGAAGATGAAATAGAGCAAGATTTAATATAAGCGCAATTGAATAAACAAAAATTGCAGCAAGTATATTCGAGCTCTTAAAATGTAGTAACAAAAAAAGAAATTGGATATTGAAGAATTAAATAAAAGATTAAAAGAAGATTTGGAGAGAGAAAGAAAAAATATGGATGAAGATTCATCAGAAGAAGAAGATAAGAGAAAAAAGCATGAAGAATTTGTTAAAAAAAGAAAATAACACTATAATGAGAAGAAGTTGATAAAGGATGCAATGCATAAAAAATAATTCGAGGATTAATGAATTATATATATAAAATTTAACAAAAATCATTTGGATATAATTTGATTTCCAGATATATTGTATTCACTAATATATTCTGTTGATCCAGTTACGAATAATCTATATGATCCAATAGTTGTAAATAGAAATGTTGGATGAACTATTATAGTTAATTTAGTATTCATTTTGACAGTCAATTAAATTGTTTGAATATAATTGTTAGCATTTGACTAAGTTATTATTTTGCCAGATTAATCTTCTAGAATCAAAGAATAAGACTCTAAAGCTGTAAGAGGAGTTAATACAAATGTAACTATCTAATTAAAATGTTAAGAACCAATTTAATAAGCATCATCACCTTAACAAACAACACTTTCAACTACAAATGAAGTATCCAATAAAATGGTTTTAGCATAACTGCTATAATAAAATTCATACAATGGATAGGTTCTAGTACTATTGCCATCATAATCTATGGTAATAGTTTTAACAATTTTCGATCCATTAATATAATTTCCATTAATGTCTACACTATATCCATGAGCTCCTATCGGTCCTAAAGGTCCCAAAGCTCCTAAAGGTCCTAATGGTCCTATTGGACCTAGAGCAGACCATAATCCAAATGCTCTTAATTAGACAGCAAAGTCATTAGTTTCAAAAAGTGTTTTACCAGGATCTTATTATCCATAATATTAAGTTTTTGACAAAGGTCCTTTATATCCTAATGGACCATCTTTAGACATAGGATCTCCCTATTAATATGGAGTATATTAGATTATCTCTTATAAAACAGTAGGCATTGAGATTTGCCAAAAAAAGTAAAATTTGGATGTGTACCATAAAGGATTAGACAAAGGTCCTATTAAAGACAATGGTCCATATGGACCTAATGGCCCTAAATATCCAAGACAGCTATTGGAACTTAAATATTCTTAAGGAGTCAGATCTGGAACTTTATCAGGATCAATTTTTGGGCATACAGTAGTTAAATCAACATTTGTTATTGAATTAGCAGTAGTTATTATCATTTTCTAGTAATTATTATTCCATCCTGTATTTGCAGTATTGCTACAAGATTATGTATATATTATTAAGAGAGGGAAGAGAAACATATTATTCATTTTAAAATAATTTACTTTTTAGATATTGGAACTATGTTAAAAAGTAATTAATAATGCAAATTATGATAAATATATTATAATAATATTCAATATAATTCGAGATTAATTAAAATAATTCATATTATTATAATATTATATATATTTATTGACTTTTAAAATAAAATTGGCCTTACAAATGAAAAAATTATTATAAATTGTGAATTATACGTATATCAATAACATCTTGATAATGACCAAAAAATATAATTATTCATAGGAAATCATATTCTATATCAATCATTTGACACTAATTCTTATGTAAATTAAGAAAAAGACAATGTAATAAGTTTTTGATTCATTAATCTATGATGTGACTATTAAACAAAAATAAAACGATTTCTCTTATCTTTTAATTGATAACTTATTCCAATCTCAAACACAAAAAATATAAATATACTTATTTAGCATATTCTTGTAATTTTGAAAATTTATAAAAAGTACTGCAAATATAAGAATCATAAGCTATCAGGAATCTCAAAAGAACAATAAATAGTAACAAGAGATGAAAATAATAGTAACAAGAGATGAAAATAATAGTAACAAGAGATGAAAATAATAGCAACAAAAAATACTCAAAAGTAGATAATACAAAGTTTTATTATGAATTCGATATAAATACTAATATTTATAATGTTTCATAAACAACCAATTATTGGAGATTTAATAAACAATCATGTTAATTAAGTCAACTAACTTATTATACAAAAAGAAGAGTAATGTTATCAAAATTCAAAAAATATGTAAGCTTTTGCTGATTGCATGTTAACTAAAGAGAAGAGGATTTAGAAATTAAAAATGAAATCAGATATATTTCTTCGATTTTGTGAATTGAAATATGAGGATTGTCTGTAAGAAAAAGAAGAATAGAGCTGCATAAAAAGAATGAATAACATTTTTGATGATTTTAATTATCAGATGAAATATGAAAATGTCTAGAAATTATGATTAATAATTAATTTTAAATTATGGCATTAATTATTGAAATGATAAAATATTTATAAAACAATTTATAATGAATATAAATGATTACGCTTATTATAAATTGATTGTTTTCATAAAAACATCATATTGTCACTTACAATATTATTAGTCTACACCTAAACTTGCATCTATAGATTCTTTTTTTGAATAGTTTAAACACATTATTTTTCTTGATTGATTAATTGTTCATAAGTTTCAAGATATAATAATTGTTCTTCTATCTTATCCATTTAGACTGAGATCATTTGCTTTAAATTTTCATCCATTTTTTCATGTTCTTAAGATTAAGTAACTTCTATAATGGGTAATTTCAATTTATCTAATTGAGATTTGAAACAAGCAACTCCCAATTGAATAGGATTACTAACATCATTATGAAATGTAATTTGTTCCTATGTATTATTAAATATAGTTTACTTTTTAAGGTTTTTTAGGAATGGAAGATTCCTTATCTAAGGATGGAAAGATATTGGAATAAGGAAGTTGAAGATACATTTTAACAATTTCAATTAAAGATCTTTTAGCAAAGTATTTTGCAATTTCATTCCATTTTTCTTTATGTTTATATACCAATTCTAATAATCGATGTATTTCATCTTAAGTCCATGGTGCATATTTTTAAGTTTATTAGAATTATTCTAATATGATAATTATAAATATTTACAGAAATCTTCATTTTTTAAAAATTTAGGATATTTTTTATCAAGAAAACAATTATTGCATAATAATAATGGTTATAATTAAAATGATGCCAAATTTTCTTTCTTTTATTAATGAAATGGATAAGCCTTTTTGTCACAAATATGACATCTATATAAATAAAAATAATAAATTACTCATAATGAGGATCACTATGGAAATTGATTTAATTGCTTTGGAAATTAAGCTTAACTCTTTCTAAGAAAGTACCATTTTATTAATAAACTTATCCTTAATTTGGAAGATTATTAGGATTGTATTAGAAATTGATTAATCCCCAATGTTCTAAGAATGTATACACTCTTAATAAAGAGGAAGCATCTCCACTAATAAAACTGAGACAATCAGTAAATTTAAGATATTTAGTTTGAGTGTTGATCCATTTTTATAAGATTGCATTTCTTATTTTAAGATAAGTAAGTGGAGTCTTATAGTTACCTTTATAATAAGAAATGTCATTATGAAAATGTTAATGGAAAAATTCTGGGAGGGAATCCTTTTCAATTTAATGAATTGAATCAATCTAGAACCAACGAGCTGGAGCTGGAATGATAGCTTCCCAATTCTATAAAAACCAATCTTTCTAAAAGGTTGAGGTCCAAATATTACCTTGCTTTGTGTAGTTTCTTAAGTAATGTTTGTTGTTGTAGTGTTTTCTTTTTTTATAGGTGGTGGAATTGTCTATGTTTAAGGCTTTGGTATTATCTTTCGTTGTTCTGTTTATACCTCTAGTACTTCATAGCCAGTTGACACTTTTTAGAGTAAAATTGTAATTTGTGAATTTCTGCTTTCAGGTCTTCTGTTAAACATTCCTAAAAATAATAGAATGTAAAATGTGAGCTTATAATAGAATATGTCTAGGCAAACAGGTATATGTAAGAGGAGGTTAATCAATATCGACATTCAAGTTCGATTCCAATTCTTCCCTCCACATCATAATCCTGTTACCTCATATACTCTAGAGACTCAAAATGTGATCCAATTAGCTTGGAAAACATAATGAATTTCATCTAGAAAAGTATATTAAATTATTTATATCAAATATTTTACCTTTTTGAATCTAATTTGCTGAAATGTTTTGTTCTCTAAAAGAAAATAATTTATCTTTTTAAAAATCCAATAGACATCTAAATATGCCAAGAAATTCAATAACAAAAATCTCTTAGAATACATTTTATTGGAGATATCATATAATAAAACATATATATTACATTAATATTATACTCTCTCTATCAAGATTAAAAAATACCTTTATGTATTTTAATAATAATATTACATTATTAACATACAAAAATTAAAACCAAGTTGTAGACAACAAACTTATTATATTTCTTGATATAAAAACTAAAATCCATTTTTTAAAATTAACATTAAAATGAATCAAATCACAAAAAACTCTTAAATATCATGAAGCACTTAAAACATATTGAATTCTAATGTTTTAATCAATCTTCATAATAAACTAACTTATCTTGATTTTAACACTTTAAGTGGAACCTTATATATTTCATACATTAGATCTAAAATAACATCAAATTTTTATTCTTTATTCAAAAACAAGAATACAATCATCATAACTTGATTATATCTCTTAAATTCTTTATACATTAAACATACATTTGATTGATTTAGATTATTTAAAGACACTCACCAAATATCAAAATTGTTAAATAATTAATTGAAATCAAAATAATTATTTAAGCTGTCGAATATCAAAATTTCATACTATAAAGTAAACTATATCTGATGTAGTTTTTGAAAGTATAATAAACATTTTAGCAATGGTTAAACGTGTTATAAATTTTTTCATTTGATTTTAGTTTCAGCTAATTGATAAATAATAATAATAGTTATCCAAACATAGATTGTAATTTTTAATAGCTTTCAAATTTATAAAATAAAAAGGCTTACTTTAAAAATTAGAGAGAAGAAGAAAAGAAAGGATAAATAAGATGAAAAAGTTAAAAAATTTTGAAGTTCATTTTAACACTTTCATTTTTCGTTGAAATTATTTCAAAATTTTATTACCAAATATCATTATGAAATATACAAGAATTATTTAAGGATGATTTCTAATCTAAATCTTTTTATAACTAAATCTGAAACAAGAATTTAATATTTTAACCTCAGGTAGTAATTAGATAAATTTGATTTATAGTTTAAAGATTGTACAAGTAAATACATAATTTTAATTTTGGAAAATGAAAAAATAATAAAAAGGAAATAAGTTGACTTTGCTTCGTTTTATGAATAAGTATAATAAAATTAAAGTAAAATCTTTTTAAATTTGAATTTGTTTTAGGAAGGGTAAGTTTTGGATAAATAAATCTCATGTAATGAGCATTTTGATTTTATATTTTATCTATAAATATTTATTCAGAATATTAATTTTAGTAAGAAAGAATATGAGTTTACTTTAAAATTTAATATAAAAAGAGTTTTATTATAAAATAAAAAAATAAAAAAAAATCTTTTAAAACTCTTTAAAGTCAATCATTATTGGACATATTCTTTGTTCAGTTTTAATATAAATAATTCAAGCAATAAATTAATCTTTTCTTTTCAACAGATCTTATTATATTATATTGAATTGATTAATTAATATTTGATTACCAAAAAAAATTTAATTAAAATTATGCTTGATTAAGGATAATAGATTTTTGATCTTAAACTGTGAACAAATGAATGAATAATATTTTATCAATATATACTTAATTAATAATCATAATTTAAGTATAAGTATGAAAGTTTGAGAATATTCTAAAATTTAAAAAAAAGAAGATCTTGTTTTAGAATAGTTTATTGTATACTAAAATGATGAAGTGTTTGCCATATAATCAATTATTAAAACTATTTTGTAAAATGGGTTATATAGAAAAGATATTTAGTGAATGGGTTATATGAAAAAATCTAATCAAGTTAGAAAAAAGCAAAAAGGTAATTTTAAAATTAAAAGATTAATGAAAAAAACAATGTTTAATTAAGATTTTAAAAATAAATAGTTTAATTCGAATTTATTTCTCAAATAATAGTTTTGTTTTTATTAATAGTTTAAAATCTTAATTATTATTTTGAAAATCTTTGATTTAAATTGATAATATAAGCATGATTGAATCAGCGAATAATAAAATAAAAGCAAAATAATTATTTTAAACAAAAGATTATTCATAGGCTTTAACTATAAAAAAAGATGAAGTAAAAAAAGTGAGAAGTTTACAATGGATGAATAAAATTTTAATTAATTAAATTTGATATAATTCGAAGAAATAGGATAATGAAGAGAAGGGTTTAGGAAAAAGATTTGGAGTAATGAATTGATAATAAATATTAATAAATAATTGATTATAGTTTAATAATATATAAAAGTAGAATGGGAAATAATTTTTGTTATACAAAGAGTGGTATGTAATCTACAATTTCACAATTATTATGTGAATAGAAATTTAATGGATGTTAAGTGTTATTAACAGCAGGAAACATAGAGAATGAATCAGTAGATTGTATAGTATTGCCAACAGATCAAAAATTTTCGAATGTTCCTTAAAATGATAAGCCAACATTTATACCAAGTAATGGAAATTGTATTTTTGTGGGATCGACAAAAAGTAAATAAAAATAAAATAGTATAGAAAACAAAAAAAATTATATTTTGGCTGTTGTTTAAGAGAATAATGAGATGAGTTTTTAAGACTAATAGGATGAAGAAAGACAATTAATTTATGAAACAATATAAAATAGTTTGAAAATGGTATAAATAATTAAGATTTAGGCCAATGCAAGATAAATGAGATCGATAGCTTTTCCAGTATTTTAATCGAAAGATCATACTACATCAGCAACAATAATGATAATGGCTATAAAATTATTTATATCTGAATAGAAATCTGATACAGTAACTAGAATTTGTATAACATTGAATGTAAGAATATGATCTTTATAGATGTACTTCCTTTTAGTAAATAGAATAGGTGTCAAGTTTTAAATGGGTATTTTAGTAAGTATTTGAATAACATAATTAAGGAAAATCCTAATCTTATTCAAGTACAATAAATCCTACATTTATGGAGGAATATAAATCAATTAGATTAATTTAATAATAGGTTATTAAAGAAGGTACTCCTTGAAATAATTAATGAATTAAATTTAATAATATAAAATTTTGATAAAAATATAAAAATTCGTTTTCTAGGCAGATTAATAAATTAAATGAAGATTATTATATTTATCTGTGTTGTGATTGCATTGTCATAAGCAACTGAAGCTATAGACCTCTTTAATACAGTATATTCAATATAATAGTTAGTTACCAAAAACAGATTTTGGAAGAACAATATTGTAAACAGTATAATTAGAGTTATCAAATGGATCAGCATTAGATTCTGTAGTTGAATCACTAAATGAAATATTGAATTCAGCTGAATAAGAAAAAGGAGCTATTCAAACTAATTTAAGAAATAGACAAGCATAATGTTAAACAAGATAAGATGATGCTTAAAGTGTTATAGATAGAGCAAATGCAAAAAGAGCAGATGATGAAAGAAAATGTATAAATGGATTTTCATATCTTAGTGCCATTAATTAATGAGGAATTGATTAGTAAATAAGAATAAGCATTAGTAAAAGATTCAGAAGAATAAAGAAATAATGATAAACTTGCACTTCTTACAGCAACAAGAGAAGAATAGAAATAAGAATATTAAAATAGAAGAAATGAATTAACAAATTATGTTGCAGCTTTAGGAGAAGCAAAATCTATTGTTTCTGGATTAGGTTCTGTAAGTTTCTTATAAGTTAATTCAAATGAACATTATCTCAAATTTAGTATATTGAATTATAAATTATTATATTAGAGGATGCACATCCAACACCTAGAGGTTATGGAATTATGGTTGAATTATTATTAAAAGCATCAATATAAGCTAAAACACCTGAACAAGTAGAAAAACTTGTTGCTACAATCTAAGGATTAATTGATTCTATCTTTGAATTATAAAAATAAGAATTATTAGTTGATGATGCAAGAGAAGTGGAGTTCATTAGATAAAGGTATTTTATTAATATTATTCTAATAGAGAAATATTACTCTTAGCTAATTAAACTTTAGCTGCTTCTGTTGCTTAATTGAAAGCTTAAGTTTTACATTTATAATAAGATATTGTTGAACTTACAAATGATGTTAACACTAATAAATAAATTGCATCTATTAAAACTAAAGAACTTAATGATTGGATCAAAACTTGTTAAGATGAAGAAAAAAATCTTAGAGCTATTTTTGATAGCAGGTAATATATTGTATTTAATAATCTAGAGTTGGATAAGTTGAAACTGTCAATTAAATACTTATTATCTTCAATTCAGGATTAAGTTAAGAATTAAGAAAATCAATTGCAGAAATATAACTAAATTGATAAAACAAAATCAATATCATAAATAGGATTATTCAACCTAAATTTTATCTCCATCCAGGAATTAATCTTCTACCTGCTCCTAATAAATTCCCTCCAAATGTATCTGCATATTTCCCTTAATCTATTTTAGGATCAAATTTTTATCTCTTTTATTATTCTGCTGCCTAAGTTGTTTCATTAAATTTTGATTCAACATAGGCAAATTTTATGTATTTATCTTCATCTCTTGCTTATTGTTTCATTTCTTAATCAAATTATTTCTTTTACTTTTATTCAAGAATACTCTTTTTTTTTTCAAGTAAATGATTTTCTTTCATTTTAATTCTTTCTTTTGCTTCTTAACTAACATATCTTTTAGACATAGTTTCTACTTATTTTAATTCCTACTCTCTTTATTTTTCAATCATTTTTTATTCTCTATAATATTAAACCTATTATTTTTTCTCTTCTCTTTCTTTTTTTAAATTTTCAGATTTTTGTTTTTCAATATCTTTTTTAGTTTCATACTCAATTTCATCAATTGCTTTTTATGTAACTCTCTTAATCTTCCATTATTTTATCTCTTCTTTCAATTTATCTCTTTCCTCTTTTGGAACTAAAGGTTTTTTAATTTATTTTTATTTTTCTATCTCTTATTATAATTACTCTTATTATAATTGTATCTATTTATTTTCTTCTTTTTTTCTTTTATACTCTGTCAATAATTCTTTTTTTTCATCTTCTAATTATAATAGCAAATTATGATTATCAATTTGTTCTATTAATTAATCTTCCGTAATAAATGGTATAGCTTTGAGACAATCATTAATGAAATTCTAAGAGATCTTACCTTTATGTTTAGTTCTTGTTCTCAAAAATTCTCTATGATCTTCTGGTTCTAATAGTTTAATTTAATCAATTTTTTCATCAATTTGATCTACTTTTTATTTAATCTATCCTAATTCACTAGTTGTCTCTTCATTATTTTACATTGGTTTTCTCTTGATTATTGGTTGTTTTTCAATAATATCATAATTATCCATTTTCTATTCAATCATTTTTAATTCATCATACAATTCCTCTTCTTATTATGTTAAAGTATCAAATTAATATGACATTTTAGATTTATAATCTGTTATTCTATGAATAGATCGACATAGATATATACGCATTTGTTATATTATTTGCCATGCTTTCAATTTTTTAATAATACTCATGACTGTTAGTGAACCCCTTTAATTCTTTAATATATCTTTGTACATCATTTCTTAATAATCTCAAACTAGTCTTTTTATTATCCTTAAAGAATTACTTTAACACACTACCCTTTCCTTCTCTTTATCAAAATCAAATTTTTCAATCATGTCATTCAAAATGAAAACATCATTTTTATTTATACTTGTCTTACAAATTGGTAATAGTTTAGACATATCCTTTATACTCAGGGATATTAATTTTGCCTTACATGATGCCAATTCTGATTTACATTCTTGTAGCATTTATATAAAAATGTTTTAAATTGTAAAAATACTCATATAATAAATCTAGACACAAACATGTATATTGAAGATAATCCTCCTCTGGTTATAATATCTTGGAAATTTGGTAGTACTAGAACCTTTAACAATATTAAACCATAACTAATTTTGTTTTTTGATTGTAATAATCCAACTAAGAACAATGTTTCAAACTTATTTAAAAATCATTTATGTACAAACTCTAAATTTGCTGTAATTCCTCTTAAAATGAATGTCCATGTAAATTCATCAGTTGTTGCATTTGGTATAAAAGTGAAAAGGTGTTTCATTACACAATCCATCAATCCCCATCCTATTGCTATTGCAAATATTCTGCTTAACTTATCATCAATATTTGTTTTTTATTTCGATACTAAAATTATTCCATAACAATCAATCAAATCAAAGAGTAATTTTATCTACAATTTTATTTGCATTCCTTACATGAATTAATTATTCAGTTATTACAGACAACGAAGCTAACAGAAACAATTTACAAAATTATGTCAGCAAACATCCTAAAATGCTAATCAATACAGTCTTATAGGCTCCTTGCTCAGCACTATTATAAATTACTTAATTTTACAGTGATCTTGCCTTATATACAACAAAAAAAGGTCCAAATGCTAACAAAAGACAATTTATCAAATGTGAGAATGCCATTAAATGTAATAATTATTTGATTTAAAGATTACTAAATTAGTCACTTTACAAGTTCCTGAAAAAATTTATAAGAAACGTAAACATTTTAATTAAAATCGAATATCTCTTTGGACTAGTTTTCACGATATTTGGACTCCAAGTGGAAAATAATTTAATTTTTAACCATTCAAAATCAAAGAATAACAATTGAATTAAATTTAAACACGTCGAAAAAGTTAATAACTTTCAAATTAAATATCTCGAATCTAATAGAGTATTGATTACAAATAAAAAATATTGGAAGACATATTCATGCCCAAAAAAGTGAAACCTTCTTCACATAATGTGTAAATTAAGGATCCACCACAACAACGAAGGAGTCTATCTATTCTCTATTCAAAAAGACCTGAATCTCATATTTAAACATAAAGAACTTAATCAGCTACACCAATAATGAGAAGATCTAAAAAACATTAAAAAGCTATTGAAATCAAAGATACAATAGGATTACAAATAGAAAAATGTTTATTGTATGATAGATATTAAAAGGAGAAAATAAAGCTCGATTATACAAATGTATCATTTAGAAGATAAAAATAAAATATTGAATCACATAGTTTTAATAATAATAAAGTTTAGTACAAACATTCCATTACTTTAGCTAAATGGGATTAAAGTGAAAAATCATATGAATAATTTTGATTATTTTTCATATAAGAAAAGTATAATCTTTACTTTATTAAATTATGTTAATAAATAAGCTTCCTTTATTAGAATAAACATAGTCTCCTAAACCATTCCATAAAACTAAGTTAAACTTTGAGAATACAAGTTAATACTAAGGAGAAAGGTTTTATAAGTAGCCGCTTGTTTAAAAATAAAAGAGACAACTAAGCATCATGAAATCTTAAAATGAAATAAAAAAATAAATTCAGAATATAACTGATGATTCTATGTCAAAAAGAATTTAACAATCTAAATTATAACCAGAAATTCAAGCAGTAGACAAATTATAATAAGAATTTGAAACAAAATATTTGGAATAAGTAATTTATGATTGGGTTTATTTAGATTAGAACTATAGATGATTTGAAATTGGAAAACATAAAATTAAAAATGCAGTTAGAAGAATAAGAATAATAAATTATTTATTTAAAATTAATAAACAGTGATTTAAGATAATAGATAGAAATCTCATCGACAGATATTCAAATCAAAAAATTAGAATAAGAGTATAAGGACACATACAGAAGGATGGATGATACCTTAAGAAAGGCAATTGATGAGAATTATGAAAGTTAAATTAAAATGAAGAACTTATAAATAAAGTCTCAGTAATTGGAGCATTTCACGGTATTTATAGTTTAAATGATAGTTTATGTTAAAGTAATAATTAACATGTAAATTTTGTAGAAAAGAGTTACATAATACAATAACAGTGATTCCATGTGCTCATAATTATTGTTAAAGATGTGTTTCTGGTTATGTTGGGAAATGTTTTGCATGTAATGACGATGTAAGATAATTAATTATTCTGTAATAGAATAAAGTGCAGGCTACTTATCATAATGAATATATTAGTGATTTAATCAACATGTATAAAATATTTGAGAACATTTTAAGTTTATTGAGAAATTGATTATAATTATATAAAATGTAAAATTTTATATAAAGTGAATTATAGAAAAATAAGATTTGACAATTGATTGTTAAATAATATATATAAAGTCAAAGGTTAAGTAAGCCTTAGTAGTATTCACCGTATACATCATGAAGCTGTTATTCAACTCTTTAATGGCATCTTTCAAATTCTCTATCATTTGTATTTCCTTTATAGCATTCTAATGCTTATTTTTCAATAAAGAGCATTTTCATTGAGAGGTATTTAGCCATATTATCTATTTTGCCTTCATGTCTTTCCATACCTATGTAAATCTATAAGTCATACATGTAGCAAATAATTCAAAAGTTTTAGCATTTCTAAGACAGGATTCTTTGTGTTTCTCTGTGAGGTCTTGTTATTTAAACATTTAATCTAGAGAAATTTTGCTGGCCTCTTAAAAATTATTGAAATCATTTTCATATTACTATTTTCTTTACATTTTTTTTAGTGTATTTAATATTAATTTGAGTAAGTAAGATATTGTTCGGTTTTGAATTATAATATTTCATCATTAAAATATATTATTTTCAAAATCTTGTGATTCATTATGCAGCAAGTTATTCCGTCATTTATTAATTTTAATTACATTATATATGGTATTTAATTAATAATTAAATATTTGAGGGGGATGAGAGAAATAGGAATAATTTAAATTCATACAAGTGAATAAACATAATTAAATAAAATTATTATATATATATTAGAATAATTTATAATAATAAATGAAAATTAATGGTTCAGTTTTGAGTTTGAATGGTTTCTTAAGAATGAGAGTTTTAAGTTTTGATTATAATAATCTCTAAGATTGAATCAATAACAGCAAGTACTATAAATGAAATTGTCCAAGTGATATCTATTTAAATAATGAGTAGAATAGAAATGTCAAATCCAAAGCTAATGAATAATTAGATTACTTGAACCCATTTTCTATTTGATTAAAAGAATCTGAAAATCCAAACAATAACTAAATCAATTAATACACATAAGGCAGGATGCAATCCTAAAAGTAGAAAGCATCCAATTAATCCTTAAGAAATAACACATCTAGTTAATACTCTATAAACAGTATTGGTATAAAAATAATTTTATGTATAATCTTAATTTTATTTGATTTCTCCAATTAATTTGATTTCACTTTATCTAACAGAATCTGGTAATTCTTATAAAGATGGAATAGTAGGTAGATTATTAGGAATAGGTTGATGAAATTATTAAGTTTCCATTCTATGTTTTGTTTTAATGATTTGGTAGCCAGAGTTTTTTCTTATTAATGTAGGTGTTTTAAGAATGCTTTTAGCTGGAGAGACAGCATTATTTGATTTAATACTATTTCTACCTTATTAATTGGTTTCAGGTACTGACTCTATTGTAAATGTTCCTTTTTTTTAAAGAGTTCTGTGTAATCGTTGTGTATTTTATAAGGTGATAATTTAATGATCCTCTGATTATGCAGAATGTTTTGAAGATCTATGAGTGGAAAGATGAGTTCTACTTAAAGGAACTGTCTTATTATTATGAGATGGAGTAATTGCTGAAGTATTGATTAAATTCTTTTTACTATACATTCTGTATAGCAAATACAATTGAATTATGAGAATTAAACCAGCAAATCCTATGTGATAATACATTAAGAGCATGAAACTTTAATATTAATTTAACTTTATAAAATCTATTTTTGGATGTTTGTATACATTATTAAATATTGAAAATGAATATAATAGTTAGTCTTTTTGATGGAATACCTGAAATATAAATATTAAAGTAAAATTACAAAATAAATATATTGAATATATACTAATCAATTTCTTAATGAGAGTCACCAATCAAATACTACATTTTTTTAATAGGATTCATCATATAGTTTAAAATTAACATAGAAACTATCAATTGAAGGAATGTTCACAGTAATGTGAAAAATAAATTTGAATACTTCTAAATAATCTTATTCTAATATTTCTTTAATACTGAATCGAACCCAAAGTTTTCCTTTTTTCCTTTAGATTCCATTTTATTAACAATTAGTACACATATCCTTTAATATTATATTAGATCATTTTAGTATCTCAAACACCTTCAATAATTAAAACTGTAAAAAACAATTTACTTATAGTGTATAATTTATATACTGATTTTCTAAACAGCATTTATCAAGTTCCGTGTATAAGTTTCTCAACATAAGTACAATATATTTAGAAGGAACATTACTTTAATATTCATTTAAATTCTACAATATCACTAAAATTTTATTGCTACATTCTGATAACGATCTTTTGATGTGCCTCTTTATTATTGAAGAAATATATGACTAGATATTTAATGTTTCGCGAATTTATCTAATTGTTGATACTTTGCTTTAAGGTAACATTTATTTTTATACGATTAGGATTTTAATAGAAATCAAAATCAGTCAAAAAATGATAAAGTATGCTAATCAACATTTTTTTCATTTTACCTTAAAATAAGACTTCGATCTTTTATTTCTATTGAAATAAAATAATGACTGATATAAGTTACTTAACATGAATAAGAATTTAAAAAGTGTTATATTTTTTATTAAGAAGTTTAATTCGAAATTAATTCAATTTTTAAGTTAATCTTCTTCCAACAGTTAGAAATGAATTTTTGATTTGATTATCATATTACCATAAAATTTTTGTTAAATTTATTATTTGACTTCTTATTAGTAAAAATAAATAATTAGAATAATATCCTTAAGTTGTAGTCAATAAGTAAAATTTTTTAAACTTAGTATCCTAATTCTCATAACTGCTGCTAAGAACTTCTCGATCACAAATTTATTAGATTTTTGAGAAATTAAGTACATAAATATCCATCATTAAATCATCAATAAATGATTTAAAACAAACTACTGTCTAAAACTATTTCTTGTATTCCTGTCAGCCTTTGTATCTCTTTTATTCTCCCTTCTACTTTATCCATAATCTTTACTATGTTCTTTGGTTATTTTAAGAAATAACGAGATCTCATTCCTGCATACAATAGATATAATGATAAAATTTTGATACATTAATTTATCTTTTTGATAATCTATCATATTTGATCATATTTGATGTCTTCAAAATTTCCTTTTTTGGAACAAGTTTCATTTCTCTAATATAAATGATATCTCAAACTTCTACTTATACGATAGACACTGTTTCGATGATTTGATTCTTTTATTCTATTATTATTAATGGAAATTTGTCTTATCTTTCGTTTTCTTATGATTCTAATTAGTTTACAAATGTCTTATTAACTATGTCTTCTAAAATTATTTCATTTTTTGGATCATTATTATTTTTATTATCATTAGTTTCACCTTCATCTTATTAATAAGTTCATTCTATTAATATTTGATATATTGTTAAATATTTATCATCATTCTATCTAAGAGATCAAATTACTAACTTACTTGGCATGAATATAAATTATCTGATTATAACTACATACATTAAGTAATCATATTATAAATAAAACCAATTAAAAATTATACATATATATTTTTAATAAATAATATATTCAATATATTAACATATATGGTCTTTGTTTTTTAAGTATATAATCCTTCTTTTTAGTTCTATTGGCTTTTATAGATTATATTTTATTTTTTAAGTATTTTGGATTAACTGTTGCTTAGATGCAATAAGTACAACATTGTAATTTTTTATTACTTTCGATAATGATTTTATTCTTTTTATTTAAGTCTAATAAAAAGTAGTAATTTTAATTATATTTGGTAATTCTTTATATGCATTTAAAAATTAGTCCATAAATTATTAATTTAATTATGTAACAAGGTCTTTACATTTCTGACCCTGCTGAATACTTACAAAAAATGAGAGAACATAAAAAGATTTTAGTTGTCAAATAAGATATTTTTGGCTTCTAACTTTATGATATATCACTTCATAAGAAAGGTCCAATTGAAGATAAACTTTATCTAAAAAATCCATTCTTTTTGATGAATGTCAGAAGAGGCAATTCAATATTAGTATAGGATGATTGTATCAATATCTGTAGAAGAGGGATGAGAAAGTTCTATGATCTTGAAAGAAAGTATATTGATTATGAATTGGAATAATAAAATGTCAAATTGTCTAGATATCATGAAAAAGCATGTTTAAATATTTTACATCCTATAAAATAAGCTATTTAAGAGGGTAAAAAGATTCATCTTTACAAATTATTTAAAGAAAATGGTGAACATTGTTAAATAAGTTTTACAAATGGATATTGGTTAGTGGCATCTAAAAACTGTACAATTCTATTCTAATAAGAAGATGATTTAAAAATATATAATGATTTAAGACATACATGGGCTAAATTAATTGCAAAATAATGGTTAGAAATTATTAAAGAATAAAATTTTGATGATTTAAAATCATTTCTTAATCAACATACATTAATTGGAGAATATTGTGGAAATCCTGATTATTAACATATAACAAAGTATTCTCATATTCAACTTATATTTTATGCAATAGTGAATAACAACTCTCCAGATATATGTTTACCAGTAGAATAGACAAAGTAAATTTGTGAATAATATAAATTGCAATTTGTGAAAAACTCTTCCATTAAAAACTTCGATAATTATGAAGCTATATTAAAATAATTAGCAGTCTGGTCTAAAATAATTGGAGAAGGACCTATGGAATTAGAAGGCGAAGGATCAGTTGCTTATATAGTAGCAGAAGATCATATTGGAAATTAATAGATGATTAGTTTATGTAAACTAAAATCAATGGAATATTTAATCTATAGAAAATTAAGAGAAATGTTAAAGATATTGATTTAAAAGATTAATCTCAATGAACATTATTAATTATCTGTTTAATTAGGTAAATTCCTTAATGAATTACAAATTATAATCAAATAATATTCACCTCCTCAACCTATTAGATATTATCTTCATATTTCTAAATTAGCCTTTGAAGAAGTTTATAATAATAAAATTCCCTTTGAAAAAATCAGATATAATTTTGTAGATTTTTTAGAACATATCTAAAATATGCAGGAAGATAAAATGAGTGAAATAGATGAATTAGGAGAAGTGAAATAAAAAAACTTACAGAGACATGTGAGAGTCATTTTGTTAACATTACCTATGTTGATAGAAGATAAAGTATTATAGAATTTAAAGGATAAACTTAATATTTAATGTGTAGAATGTTAATATATGTGTAGAAATTAAAAAGTATTTGCATAAAGAGCAATATCTATTTTACATATGATTCCTAAATTACCATATAATATAAATAATGAATAATAATTGAATGATTATTTAGTTAATTCAGCATTATAAAATTAAGATCCAGCAAATATTATTTTTGTTTTTTTAGGTATGAATTAAGAGGCATTCAAAATATCATTATAAAATTTATAATCTAAAAATTTTTAAGATTAAAATCCTATTATAAGTTCTTTTGGTGTTTAATTTTCAACAGCAAAGCCAAAAGTCTAATAATTAAGTTTAGAGAGATGGCTAGAAAAAGGTTAAGTTTATTTAAAAGAATGTTAAAAGAATTTTCCAAATAGAACTTTTGTATTAGATGAACTTGATTTATAGAAATTAGAATAAATAATAAAATAATTTGAATTTACAGAATAATCATCAATAGAAGAATAAAATGAAATTGATTTAGAGGAATCTGATGAAGAAGTTAAAGCTTAAAAAAAGATAGTAATAATTTATCCATTAATGATACCAGGTTCTGGAAAATCAACATTGGTTGAATATTTAAAATAAAATTATTAAGATTATCCTTTTTATGATATATGTGCAGATGATATAACATTTTAATTAATAAAGGATAAGCTTGGAATGAGTACAGATTCATTAGCAATATAATTCTAAAAAGTTTTCTTATATATAAAAGAAGCCTTTTAATAAGAATTTCATAAGAAGATAAATGAAATTATAAACTCTAATAATGATAAAGCTGTATTATTTGTGGATCGTAATTGTGTTCCTCATACATTATTATATATGATTGATCATGTCAAAGCAATTTAAACGGATATTGCTCTTAAGAAAGGAGTTTCTATAAAGATCTATAATATTGGATTCACATTTCCAATTTAAGATAGTAATATATAAAATACACCCTTTTGTTATGATTATGCACTTACAATTCTAAATCGGTTATTGGTTAGAAATGATCATATTTTATTGGGAAATGATGTTCTATATAAAACATAAGTTTGTATGAAAAATCTAGCATTATATACAGGGTTTAAAGCTAAAGATTCTTACTTTTAGAAATTTCATCTATAAAAGATCCTTCCTATGAGTTATCCTATAGATAGATTCAATCTTGATAAGAATGATTTGTATGTTGCATAAGATCTTATCTCTAAAGTAAATATTTTATATAATCTTAGTGTGTATTAGCATCGTAATAGACTAGAGATTTAGGATAAGGAGAAGAGTTTATCAAACTTATTGAATTTATGTACTCTATTAAGGAGAAGTACAAAATTAATGAATTTGATTTGAAAGAAGAGTGTAGATAAAATTGTCAGAGATTATCAGTTGCTATCAAAAAACTATTAATGCCATGATAAATATATTATTTCAGTTTTTATTATATTGATTAAAAAAACCTAAATCATAATTCAAAGAAAATGAACTCAAGAATTAAGTCAAAGAACTATACTAACTTTAGACAAGGAATTTAAGGTGAATAATGTAGTATACTATCTAAAAATTACATTCAGCAAAGTGAATTACCTGAGAGGGAATCCTCAAACGTCAATCATAGTAAAAAATATATAAGTCCTAATGAAGTTCTTTAATCCACTTGATTTCTATTTAATGATAATATTCATAGATTGAATACATTTTTTAAATTCATATTTATATATTTTTGATATCGTTTTATTATGAATCAAAATAAAAACATTATTATCTAATAGTTTTTTGAAATGTCTAATAGCAATTTTAGATATTTTAATCTAAACTTAAGATTATATGTAAGTTTAGATTTAAGATTAGATTTAAGATTAGAATAAAAATTATAATAATTGTAAGTATTAAAGAATTATTGAAAATGATACAATGAAAAATATTAAATTTAGAGTTAGAAAATGAAAGAACTTTTGAACTTAGTTATGATTATTTATATTTTAATTATGAATAAACTATTTCGGGGTGAGAAAAATAAATAAAATCTTCTATTATTCTTACATAAACAAGGAAAAACATGAAAAATAGTCAGAAAT